TTTTTTTTTTTTTTTGGTACTGGGGATCAAACTCTGATCCTTGTGCTTACACAGCAGGCAGTGAAACCTAACTTGCATCCATGTTCAAAGGAAGATCACATTTACAGGTACCAGGATTAGGATTGCACATATGTTTGTGGGGAACACAAGTCAACGTACAGCAATGGCTTTGTCGAATTTTACTATTTTGTTTCTGTTGCAGTTTGATTTCTTGCTTTAATAAACTATATACTTGTATATCAAAAAAATCTCTGATTATATTATAGCTAAGTGGAACATTTAGATATTGATTCATTTAAAGTACTGTACTTTTTATTTGAAAATGCATAATTCACAATTTTTAAGAGAAAAGGTCTTGTTTCTAAAAATTAGAAATTCTTTAAAGATTCTGTTTTAGAGATACTCAACTTTAGTTGGCATTCAGTATTACATTTTTTTCACCTGTAGGATTCTACCAAAATTGTTTTATTTAAACAGTTTTCTGGTGTTTCATGGTATCTATCACATTTTAAAGTAATTTTTCTTAATCTAAAAATAAAACCCAGTGTTAGGGTTTAAAAAATGTTACTGTAAAGCTTAGATTTGTAACATTTTCTTTTAGTAAACTGGGTAAATTATATTTTTAAATGCCAGACTGTGTCTGACAAGTTTTTATAAAGGTTTCTGTTTGATTTTGTTTTGACTATCGCCCAGGGGTTATTTTTGTTTTGTGTTTCGCAAAATACCATGTCAGAACAGAATAGTGCTTTTAAAAACTGCTCTTAAAATTTAAAAGATTAGTGTACAAAGAGGAAAAAAATTAACTCTTTTCTAATTTAGGATTTCCTTTGTTGGCAATTAAACATTTATTTTAATTTCCATTTTGTGTGGCTATGACAAATAATTACCCTGAACTAACTGGTCATCATTACTTGGATTGCATCATATATGATGGGCATCACTTTCTTTTCTAGGATGTTGGCAATCTACATGGATACATTAAATATATTTATGCGAGTTGCAACTATGCTAGCAACTGGAACCAACAGAAAGAAGTGAAACTGCAGCATCTGGCTTCTGTTGGCATCAGACGTCTCTTTTTAGTAGAGGAGATACTCGTTAAATACTTTGTACAAGCCACTCTTGCTGAAGTTTAGAGGTTAAGAACGTGTCTACACATTTAAAATGTCCCAGTAATGCGACCCTCGGGTTGGCTTTTTCTTTTAGAGAATAAATTCAGTAATTCTCCTCCAAGTAACCACATAAATATGTCCAGTTCTTGTGTTTGAGTAATTTTAGAAAACTTTATTTAACAAATGTGAAAACTAGAATTTGTGTTAGGAGAACTTAATTTTGTCTATTTTTGAGTTTATTAGAGTAAGTGAAAATTAGTGAGTTTGTGTTTGCCTGTTTATTTTTCAGCACACAGAATATTGAAGTAATGTCATAAGCAACATAGAACTTTTGGTGTAGAGACCAGAGAGAAATAGTAGGTTACCCATGGCATTTTTCCCCCATTTTTAGAATTTAGCATTTTGTGATTGTGATGAGTCAGTGATAGACTTCTGAGTATTTGGAACAAACGAGTGACTGCTGTTTTTACATTTGCCTTTGAAACAGAGAGACGGGGGATTCATCCTCCTGCTTTGCTTCTCAGTGCTGTCTTCACTCTGGAGATGCCGTCCTGGTGAGGACATGTTGGGACAGTCCAGAGCGTTAGTCACATGGGTAGTCCCTGGTGGAATTATGTATGTGTGAGTTTTCCTTTTGAATCTCCTAAAGTAACATATCCTTAAAATGTCTCTAGATAAAATGTTCAAAGCATGAAATTTGTTGCTTTTTCAAGTACACAAACAACATGTTTATAGTTGCGGAGGTTTTGATGCATAAGTACTGATGTCTAATTGAATACATGCTTGCTTAGCTCTTAAGGTTTTGACATCATTAGAAAAACCTTTGGCTTACACTGGAGATATGAAAGCAGTTTTTCTCCTAAAACCATTGGTTTCTTGCATTCCCTTTCAGATTAAGCACTCCAAAGCTAGCTATCTTTATGAAAAATATTAATAAAAAATGTGTGAGGAAAGTTCTTTGTTAGTTTCCCCAGAATTTTCTTTTTTTCCTACATAGACCATTATTTAGCTTTCTTGTGACATTTGTTAAGTTTTTTGATACAGAACTGGGTCTTTAGACTGGGAAGAAGTCTGTATGATTACTGAGATGATTGCTATTTTTGATAAATATTTATTACAGTAATCTTGAAATAACTTTTAACCATCTCAAAGTACATAGAATGCTTATTTATGAAACAATAAAGCTTCTGGCCAGATGATGATTGGTGTACTTTTTCCAGCTGAACTGAATTCACACCATTTGAACAGGAATTTCTTGAAGAAGACTGCCTTAGTTTAAATCTCAACCCTTAACTCTTCTGTTTATTTCTTACATGACATTGGACAAACGTTTTAATCTCTCCATGCCCATTTTCCCTACCTGTTACATGAAGATACTAACAAAACTTACCTCATAGGGTTAAAGTTAAATGTGCAGACCCCTAATAACTTAATGTGAGTTGTAGCTTCTGATGCTGGTTTGGTATTTTCTTAAGTTAAAAAAAAAAAAAAACTATAAATGCTAGATTTCTGTCGTTCTCCAACATATCACAGTCTCCATACAATATTGCTGCAATTTCAAAGTGAAATCTTACAGGGTCTGTTGTCTTTGATCACATTTTAGAACCCAAAATGTGTATGTTTATTTTTGGATGATACCACACACAGAACAAAACTGGTGTAATTTCAACAGTGGTATCAGGCAAAGGTTGATTTAGAAAATCAATTTATTTTTAAACGTAGTGACAGTACTTTATTAGTACATAACTGTGTCTGACTTTGCTAGGACAATAAGACTGTAAAATATTTAAGTGAGCTACATAAAATATTAATAATTCCAAAATAACAAATCTGTAATAATTGGCTTCTTTTAGCATACCAGTGTTTTTTTATCATTTTCCTCACAGCCTTCACAGGGAAGAGTAAAGAGCTGCTAATACATAGGCTTTGGGCAACACAGAAAGGAAAGCATCTCCATTTTACATTTTCTTTTCTTTTTTTTTTTTTTTTTTTTTTTGGTGCTGGGGATCAAACTCGGGACCTTGCACTTGCAAGGTTGCAAAGCAGGCGCCAGAACCACTGATCTAAATCCCCAGCCCATTTTACATTTTCCCACGTGCCATCTGCAGTGTTACAGGGTAACTTGTGAGATGAGGTTTTTGAAAAAAATCACAAAATAAAGGCCCTTGTGGTCAAAAGGTATGCAGTGAACATTCGGTGGGAGAATGAATGCCTGCCAAGTGTGACTGGCACCACACTACCTGAAGAAAAGCAACTGCCTCCTGCAATGTAGCAGCCTGTGTGAACACAGCCAGGGACCATTGGGTGAGTGTCTCAGAAGTGAGCACTGTTGAAATGGCTGCAGGAACTGCTGATTCAGAGGGGATCTTCACATTGAAGGACAAATAAAACTGCATTTGGCACAGACTGATCTCAGAAACACAGGAAGACTCGAATAAGGAATATGAGTGGAAATTGAGAGCATGTTCCTGGTTTAACTTGTTCACAGAGTATGAAATGTAATGGGTTCAGGCTGTGTGGTGCTCAGTGAAGGAATTAATTCTTAGGATCAGCTGTGGGGAGACTCAGATGTGTGGCTGGAAACATGATCTAGAGCACAGCATCTGGTGGGCTGTGAGCATGGGCAGTAACCAGGAGGGAACAAAGAAGGCAGCTAGCCCTGCAGTGCTGGAGGCAAAAGCCCCTACTGTAGGTGGGGAGTTGAACACCATAACAACACCATTAATCTTCACGTGAGTCAACTTTTCCGAGATTGGAATATGAGGCACTCTATTAAACAATAGTTAACTCATGGGAAACAGCTACAAACTCCAGTGACTCAGAGTAGCTCATAGAAAGTACAGAATGACTGTCCAGAGTAATTGCCAAAGGAGTTTGGAGAAGAGAGGCAGATTGCCAGGTGGCCTTGGGGACATGTGTCTACACATGGAGAAAGGAATTTGGTTGATATTCTTACACGCAGCATCACTGGGAATGTTCCAAGCTACACTGTAGACAGCTCACCTCTACCTGCTGACTCCTCCAGTTACATGCATGTGTGAAAGGCTGTGTAGTGTGAACAGCCAAGTGATGCCACCATTGGGTGTCTCACAAGATGTCAGCTGCTTTAAGTAGAATAGTGATCAAGGAAAAAGATTTTCAGTTGAAAATTCTGAGTGGCAGGAAATGGACATTTGTTAAAATGGGAAGTTGTGTATCTTCAGTACACTATACAGCTGCCCATAAGTAATTTTTTAAAAGGAAAATACATGTGGAGAAAAAGTAAAAATCATTGAAACACTTTAGAGGACGTTTCTCAGTTTTAGGGAACTAGCGGGAAGACCCAGGTGCGAGGAATGACTTCCCCACCTGTGGCACTAGACACAGCCTTCAAGGTCCTGACAGCCTGCCGCCTCCAGCTGAGTTGAAGTTGACCCCAGGACCACACATGCACACACCTGCTTGTCCTAGTGCTGGTGGGGGTGAGGATAAGAGAAGTGAGGTGCCATCTCTCCTGGGAAACCTGTTGCTAGTTTGCAGGGCACAGATCATGCTGATACACTAATCCATCTCAAACCTTTGCTGTTCTCAAGCCCTAAGCGCTGGCAAAAGCAGGAAACTTGCATTCTTGCTCCTCCTTTCTACACACCTTCCTATTGTGTCTCTTGCACTTGCTCTACTTTCTGTCACTTTGCTGCACAAGAGTCCACATTTGGAAGTGGTATCAGTTATTTAGACCTAAATTTCTATTCGTGGATATGCACACCCATGCACATTTTCTTTCTTCCTAATTGTGGTAAGCAGACTAGTTCCCAGTAAAGAAACATCGGTTATCCTGAAGTCTCAGCACAAGTCAGAGGTTAGGTACTTTTTGGAGACAGGCTATCACTGGAAAAGGAGTGAGATACATCAGTTCCTCTTCCAGGTCTGTATCCTAGGAACTTGAAACTAGTATGCTGATGTATGAGGTGTGATCGAAATGTTTAGATCAGATTATTACAGTAAAAAGACACATTGCTGTGAATCCCTCTCAGGATAATTTCCCTCACTTTGAACACACTTATTCCAACCTTGCTACTTTGAAGCAGTTCTGAAGTCTTTCTTGAGTGTCTACAAGGTATGATCAAAAATACAGTGAACAGGGGCCAGGGATTTAGCTCAATGGTTCTGCCGCCTGCCCCGCAAGTGCAAGGACGGGAGTTCTATGCCCGGTACCAAAAAAACGTGAAGGCTGCTGCTGAGTGCCATCTAGTGGATAGGCAGGCTTCTAAAAAACATTGTGTTGTGCATCTATCCACCTTCACCAGGTGTGGCACCATGTGACTGGCTCTTCCCCACAGTCAAAATGACCAGGAACAGTCAACATTTTAAGTCAATCCAGGACACTGAGGCAGCCTTGACAGCACAACTAAAGGCACAAAGGAGGACTTGGAGAACTGCTTCAGAAAATGGCAAGAACAGTGGGATAAGTATTTGAATCCAGGGGGTGTGTTCTGAGGGAGAATTAATGACAATGTGTCTTATTGTAATATTTTTATTTAAACATTCACCATATTTTTTGATCATCTGTCTGCATGCCTGTTTACTCCACCCATTCACAAAAACCAAGATACAGAATTGCCCTGTGTATCTGTCAAGAAGGAGTGGAATGTATATATATATATATTTTTTTTTCTTCCCATTCTCAACATGGATTAAGCTAGAAGACGTAATGTTAGATAAGCCAGCACAGAAAGACCTAAGTCGGTTTTTGTGGAATCTAAAATAATTGAACTTTGAGGAGGAAAAATGGTAATTACCAGACAGGGACCAGGAGGTTACAGTTAGGAGGTGAAAATGATGGCTGTTAATTAATTCAGTCATCTCACACTGCATTCATAATAAAACACCACTGTGTACCCCAGATACATACATTAATTTGTCATAAAATCACCTGCATTAGCGTGTGGTGAGAGAATTCTTCAGGATCAGGAAATTAAGCCAGTGGCTACTAGGTTGTATTAGTCACCTTTCATTGCTGGGACAACATACCTGACCTATACAACATACAGGAGAAAAGCTTCATTCGTTGGGTTTCAGTCAGTGGTTGGCTGGTAGAGGAAAGCTGCTCAATGGCAGCCAGGAAGAGAGCAAGAGAAGGGGTCAGGGACCAACCTCTTCCAATTAGACCCTGCCTCTCAAGCCCACTGAGCTAAGAACTTATTGGGGGCTAGTGATTCTCGACACAATGTAGCTTTGGGGGGCATTTTGTTTTCCCACCATAACACAAATGGATCAAAAGTATCCAGAAATGTAAAAGTCTTGGAATAGTATTGACTTTTGCATAGGCATTAAATATAATTTCACTAAAATCTCAAGGTTACAGTGACTGCTAAGTTAGGCATGCTGAAACATAACAATGACTATAATAAACATGTATAATAAATATTGGGAGTGACAAAAAGGAAAAGCTATATGCCCCACTTCTGAAAGTTGGCCACAGAAAACTTTATAATACAACAGTTCAGCATATTACACCCTCATGAACTACATACGTGACAGAGCTCTGGTCTAGACTCTGAATTTTTAGAAAAGTACTGGGCAGGTAGGGAGACAAAGATCGTATAATAAGGTGCACTGAGAAAACCACTGAAGGAATGGGAACAAAAAAAGGCTCCAGACAGAAAGGTAAACACTCTGAGAAGCTATTTCCATCAGGGAGCAAGACTGGTTTCACAGGTGCTTGAGCACCAATCAGGAGTGGCCCTGGAGTAGGAGAGGGCCTTATGGCATGGTGGCGATGGTGACCTCCTTTCCTGGTGGGGCAGGAGGCCTGTGGGCAGCTGTCAAGTCAGGGTAGCCCCACACCCAAGAATGTGGTGGACAGACCAACCCAGGGGGTGGGGTGGAGTGAACAACAGTGGGGAAAATCACAGCACCAGTGAGAGTGGGGTCAGCAAGGGAGGCAAAGGAGGGGACAGATCCCCCACCTACAGCCTTGATCTGAGCAGCAGGTGCCCAGAGGCAGGCAAGATCCAGTACACTGGAGGCTTATAAGGAAGTTCAGATTAGCTGGGCTTGGAGTCTGAGCTGAACGTCAGTGTGGTGGGATGTATTCTCTACTTGTGAGCTCTCCTGAAACTCAGAACCCCACAGCTTTGGAGACCTGGTCTGATTGAGAAATTCCCTTTTGCAAAATGTAGAGAGCCTTTGCCCTCGCTGAAGGTGAAAGTCAAGTGGAAGTTGGCACCTGGCATCCGGCGCTCCCTCCATTATGAGCTGGTCTGCAACTTACCAAGCAAATAAAGGAGGCAGAGCCACTCTGATCAGTTATGGGGCCTATAAAACGCTCAGGAGGAAGAGTGTGCTACCAGAGCACAAAGTGGAGGACGAGGGGCAAAAATGCTCCCACCACCCAGAGTGGGAACACTCCTGGCAGCTTCCTCGCAGCTTTTAGAAACGACAGTTTTGACTTGAATCATTTTTCTTCTTTGTGAAATCCCCAATGTCCTAGGTGTGTCTCTGGACTCTTTTTCTCTCTGGAAAGCTGCCAGAAAAGTTTTCAAAGTCATCTTTGGAAATCATTTAAACCCTGTAATTTGATTTTTTTATTACTGAAACGGCACATGCTTAAAATTTAACAGGTGTTCCCGTTAAGATGCTTCTCATTTTCACCTCTTTCAGCTCAACACAAGATTTTGAACACTCTAAAAAGCTGGAGGTGTTTCTTCCTTTTTTAAAGTAAGAAGTTGACAGCTATCTTTGAAATGTTAAGAGCAGGTGAAAATCTGTGCGCAGTGATTGACCCTGGAGGAGGGTAGGGTTGAACCTGGAACTTACACTTTATAACCTGTGTTATTTTAATATGGGCTTGAATTACTTCAGTACTTTTTGTGAGAATTCAAAAGCAGGTGGAAAGGCTGGGAATGTAGCTCAGTGCCTGCCATATGTGAGGCCAGGGTTCCATCCTCAGTACTGGATTGGCGGGGTGGGGAACAAGTGGAATTGTGACATAGGAATCTCTTCTTCCTCTGAAACATATGGTCCCAGGGAAAACTGCAAATCTGTGGATGGTGTGTGTGAGTGTGTAAGGAACACAGATTCCTCCCACCCTTAGTTGGGCGGTGTCCTTAGGGCTCTGTCCTATAATGAAAGAAAAAAGATGTGGTGCAAACCTAAAGTTCATTTCTAGGTCCATGGCTTAGAGGCTGAGGCATTCTAGGAAAGTTACCAAAGTCCTGGTTTAGCTGGTTGGTAGATCCAGACAACTCTCCATTCCCCTAAGAGTCTGCTCCTAGTTTCTGCACCTGATAAATGATTAGAGTTCAGCTTTCAGAGTTGGCCTCACCCCTCCCTCTCTGCCAGCTAGGTGATTCTTTCCTTCTCTGCCAAAATCAGCCAAAACCATCCCAATGCAAAGTGTATCTGTTACAACAGGTAACCATGAGTGCCAGTCCAAGGTGTCATGCTGCCCAGAGAACTTGTGGCAGCACTCTCAAATCACCTGGATTAAAAAAATAAATAAATAAATGAAATAGTGGAACCAGTCCTTCAGATGGACCAGACATGTAATTCGAAACACCTATGGGAAGCACACTTAGGAAACTTGGCTCTGTTGATCTATGGAACAATAGGAGGGTGCTGGCCAGCTTCACCCTACTTTGTGCAATGGCTGCCCCAAGTCTTCTGAGTACCAGCTGAGAACACTCCCAGGACCTTCAAGCTCTCACTCCTGCCTGAGCCGTGACCTCAGGACTCAGAGCACATCCTGCTAACAGAATCAGCCTGGGGCTGCCCCAATGACTAACCCAGCATGATACATCAAGTTTCTTTTGTGGATTAACTTTAGAGTTTTTGCAAACACATGAAAGCATAAAAGCTAACTGTCAAAATATCTCCTGGCCACTGATTTGCTGTGAAGCTGTCTTGAGCATATGGCCTAAGTTCCCTTTGATCTGTGGCAAAAGAGGAGGCCTGAGGAATCCCACCATGATCCCACCTCCAGCAGCAGGGACCGTCTGACTGTTCTGCCAGGAACCAAGGAGAGTTGAACAGATCCTGGCATTTTCCCATGTGTCCTTGTAGGCTGGTAACTGGCATCAGTTCTTTGCCTAAAAGGCCATGCTTATGAAGGCAAAGGACAGATGGCCATTGCATCACAAGGACAGACATAAGTTCTGTGTGTGTGTGTGTATGTGTGTGTGTGCATGTGCACAAGCAAGCTATGGGTGTCTGTACCCACTCGTGTCAGGAAGAGGAATCCTACCCACCAACCCCTCTTCCTCTCCCCATCTACACCAGCTAGGCACAGACCCACCCTGTATTCAACTCCATGGAAACCCCACCCCTGCATTTTCCTTTTGTTTCATTTCTGGAAGTGTGTTTGCATGTTCCTCAATCTTTCAATCTTCTTGGCAACAGCCTGGGGATATGAAGCCACTCCCTTTTCAGGGATTGATTCTTCTTGCCCAAGTCTTCCAAGTCATCTCCTGGATGACAGCTTCTCAGGGCCTGATGTCAGGTGCCACAGTGGACTTAGGCATGTTCAAGGCATTGCAGGGCCCTGCGCCGCTCACAGCTGACCAGAAGCTGGATCAGGAGTGGAGTTGGGGCAGTCCAGGCAGAGGCTCCTGGCAGGGACAGGAAACACCCACCCATGATCTCTCCTAGGCCCAGAGACACCCAACACCCTCACTCACAGTGAGGCCAGGCTGTCCACATGCTCAGACACACATACACGATTACTAATGGAACACCCAGAGACTGTACCTGATGGAAAGGGAGCTCTGAGCATTTATGTCACTAGTCTACCTGGCTAAAACCCTCATGCCTGCCTTTTTCATACCTTAGCCAATCTACCTCCTCCACAGGCCAGGAAACCCACTATGACCTGACTGGCCATGCCACCTGCCTCCCGCATACCCCCAGTCTTGCCCATCTCAGCAAAGCCCCCGTCCCTCCTCAGCCCTGGACTGCACAGTGTCCCTCACTGGCCTTTGGAATGGATGGCACTTACTATAGTGTTGTGATTACCTGCCTGCTCAGCTGCCTCCATAACATAAGCCCCCTGATGCCTGGCATGGCCAGTGTCTCCCAAATGCCTGAGACCTACAGCACAGCCCCCAGGAGTGGGTGACAGCTGAGTGTCCCACACAAGGGCAGACTTTCCCCATGCCTGCCCTGGTCAGATGCCCCTTTCTCTGCCCCTCTCAAGCTGACCTTGAACTTGAAGAGCTTTTCATTTCATCACTATCTTACACCCAGGGAAGGCCACCTATGGCTCTGCGTAGTTTTACAACAGGGTGAGGGCTGAATGGTATAGATAGCTTCTTGTACCATCCTCAGTCATCCCTGTGTCCATTTCACAGATGGGCAGCACATCTAGACATTGAGAGACAAGTCCAAGTTCACACTGCTGATTAACAGAAATGCAAGGATTCAAATCCAGGTCAGGTTTTTTACAACCATGCCAGAAGCTCCACAAGGGATTTATGGCCCTTCTCTCAGCAACATCTAAGAAGCAAGCAGGAAGATCTGCATTTCGTGGAATTATTACTAACACTAAAAGTTAACGTTCAATCCCAGCTCTTTCCTGAAGCAAGAGTTCCTTGCTCTGACTTGTGAGGCTGGAGCAGGTGGCTCTCAGGGCCTGGCATGTTACAGGTCATTAAATGTTTTCAGCGTCTTGAAAAGCTGGTTCTTTTCCTTTTGGGAGGGGCAGCCTCTCCCCTTTATGAGATTCCAGGGCTGCCAGTGCCCTCCTCTCCCTGCCACTCTATAAAGTGTCTGTGGCAGCCCTGAGAGAGGCCATCTGCCACCCTGCACAGCTCCCTCGCAGGCCGTGAGACTCCAGCCACTTTGTCATGCGGTTTCTAGTCCTCTCCAGCCTCATCTGCATCTTGCTGTTCTGTGTCTCCATCTTCTCCGGGGAAGGTAGGGCTGCCCCAGGGTGCTGGGCCCTGAGCGGAGTTTGCAGTATCTGAGGAGGTTGGAACAGGACATGCTGGAAAGCAGCCCTGACAAGCACACCCTGAGCCCTCCCAAACACACTGGGGGCCAAAGGGAAGCACCCTCTTACCACCCAGACCCACAACCTCTGCTGTGCCCAAGTCCTTTCCACCTAGACATTCTGGAGTCATCTGTTGTACCTGTACCATGCTTGGGTCAGAGGGAAGTCTTACTGGGTGGCAAATAAATTAATGAGTTCACCATGTGAGTTTGAACTTCTCACTCATGCACAGAAAATACCCCATGGGCTGGGAGACTGGGGGTGGACATGTGGGTGTATTCAGAAGTGGGGAACATGGTCTTTTCACACTGGACATGAAGACTTAGCTGTCCTGCCTCTCTTGTTTCAAATAGCTGAGTATTTCAGGCTCTTTCTCTTGTGCAATCCTCTAGAAAACTGCCTACTTTTATATTTTGTCTTCAGGGTTATGGTTATTTTAACATTTATTGGAGCTGAGCATATAGAAATATATAAAGGGGAGGAAAACACCTGGAATTTCATGATTCAAGAATAGCCCTGTTCAACGTTTTTCAAGTTGCCTGAATCATGTTTTAAAAATTTAATTGATAACTCTGGATGTCCAACATTGCCTTCATTTTACACTTTTTTCATATAATCACTAAAAATACTCATGATTGAACTTGCTTGTTCACATCAGAATGTCAGTAACAGTCCCTTGGGAGTAGCAGGATTATGGGAAGTATTTATGTGCTCAGCTTTCTGCAGGGAACGTGTGCCACCAATATAATCAGGAAAACAATGATTAGAATTTGTCAGGAGCGTGGCTCACAGCGCGTCATCAATCGGGCCTTTGTTTTAGGACAGGTTCGAGGTCACCAGTGTAACTCAAATGGCAACTCATGAAGACGGATATTGTTCCATAAAGATTCCTGTCCCCATAGGACTCTCCCTGGCAGATGTAGGAAGTGGCAATATTCAGCTGATATTTTTATATATATTATTTCCCATCAAGGGAGGATGCTATCGTTAATTTATGTGCCTAGACACTCAGATGTTCACAGCTGTCCACTGTACTACATATATGGAAATGCAGGCATGTGTATAGAAAATATTGCCTTTTTTCAAAATTTTTTTTTTTTTGGTACCGGGGATCGAACTCGGGTCCTTGCACTTGCGCAGCAGGCGGCGAAACCACTGAGCTAAATCCCCGGCCCAAAATATTTTTCCTTCTTTAATGAAGGTCTGATATATCAGTGGTAGGAAATTTTTTTTTTTCTTTCATACCAGGGAGAGAACTTGGGTCCTTGTGCTTGTGCAGCAGGTGGCAAAACCACTGAACTAAATCCCTGGCCCTGCAAATTTTTTTATTAGTCCATGTTTGCAGTGCGTGATGATTACAATTGTCCTGGGGAGTTGGGACACGTACATAACAAAGGTTAATTCTTTTATGTCCCTTTCCCCTTCCCTCCCTCCATCTCTTGGTAAAGTATTTCCTATATTTAGGATTCTTTCCCTAGACTAGATTGCCTGGGGAAGAGTTACCATGTGGAAGGGTGGGGATACTTTTGAGCCACAGTGCTGAATTGTTCCTTAGATGGGAACATGAGGAGAGCTTGTCTTGGTAGCACAGTCGTCTCCCAACATTGACTTTGTCACTTCAGAAAAGTAAAATAGGGCTGGGGATTTAGCTCAGGGGCACCATGCCTACCAGGCAAGCGCAAGGTCCTGAGTTCAATTCCCAGTAGCAAAAAAAAAAAAGAAAAAGTAAAATACACCAAGGTCCACCCTTCTCCTCCCATGACCTGGCTCATCTTCAGTTTCCTTGAGCAAATATTCCTGAACCCTGGACCTAGGGAGTAGAAGCCCATGCAAACTGTCCCTACAAAGACTCCTCCACCCCAGGGTGTCCCCAAGCCCACTGAGGGAGGTCTGTGCTTGTTTGTGTCCACCCTCAGGGAAAAGGCTTCGGATCAAGATACGGAAACCCAGGCCCTGCTGCCGCCAAGCTCCTGGCTTTAACCTAAAAGGTAAGCCCCTCACCCTACCTGGGCTTGGCAGGGGAGGGCAGCTCTGGGGTGGCCTTGGGACAGGACAGACATGTTGATCAGCCCCTGCCTGGGCATGACGTCAGAGGGGGCCACAAGCAAGTGTGACCACAAACAGGCATGACTTCAGGAAGCTTAGAGTCTAGAGGGAACCCATCCGCCCTCCAAGAGGAAATAAATGAATAGTTTCAAACTGAGCACACTGAATCAAGGCCAAGCAAGATGCAATTAAGAAGTGGTGTGGGGCACACCACACAGGTCCCTTGAAGGGGACGTGACATTACAGACACTTGAGGAAAGGTCAGGAGCCTCCCAAGGGTGGTAGAAGTGGGTGGGGCATGCAGGGGAAGGAGGGGGCTGATAGGCTGGGGTGGGCAGAAGACACCAAGGAACCAAGAGCAGGAGGTGCTCCGGAATCTACACAGACTGGCTGCCTGAAAGCCACAAGAGTCTGGAGCCCCGGCCAGCATGCAGGTCCACAGCCGGGGATGGAGCATGCTGAGCTGAGAGCTCCAGCTTGGGAAGGAGAGGGCAGCACTCTGGGATGTGAGCGGGCCACCTCCAGGCTCCAGCACAGGCTAGAGGTGCAAAGCTGGGCTCAACAGTAGGTGGAGAAGACCAAGGCTGCCTTGCCCAGGCATGGGGACACCGAGTGGAGAGGGATCAAATCCAGGCTGGGGCACCCCAGGCCCACGCTAGGGCTCCAGGTCAGGGGCCAGGCTGACACAGTGGAGTCACTGGTCTGGGGGAGAGGTGGGAGCCCAGGGACCACCATGGCCTTCGTAGTGAGAGGCAGACAGCACTGGGCAGGCAGGGTCCCACCCACAGCTATGGCCAGAACCTGCAGTCCCTTTCAGCTAGTGAGGGCCTGGGCCAGGGCCAGCTCCTGAGTGAGTAAGGGGAGAGGGGCACAGGCCGGAGAGCTCCAGCCTTAGATGTGGCTGCCAGGTGCTTGGTTCACACCCAGCTGGGTTCTCACACCCTTACACCCCAGAGAGTGAGGCACCGGCCCAGCCGAGGCAGAGGTGAGGTGGCTGGTGGCAGCTCTGCACTCCAGGCTGGATTGGAGGAGGAGAAGGAGAAGAAGGACAAAGAGGGGGAGGAGAAGGAGAAGAAGAGGGCGGAGGAAACACAGATGCAGATATACACAGAGACACACGTAGACACCACCCCCCCCCAAAGATATTGACACACAGTTAAACACAGACACTTATACATTCACACTACACACAGAGAGACACAGAGCCACCACCCACTACACATGCACACATGAGCACACAGTTTAGAGAGGCATGGGTGGCTCGCTCACTCCTCACACACATGACCAGGGCAGCTTGTTTGGTGGTCATGTGGTACCTTAGAAGAATAATCTGCCAGTGTGGCCCTGATATCAAGGCTGGACTTTGCTGGGCATGGTGGTGCATGCCTGTAATCCCAGCACTTGAGAGGCTGAGGCAGGAGGATCACTGAGAGTTCAAGGCCAGCCTGGACTACATGTCCAGACCCTGTCTCAAAAAAGCAAAATTAAAAAAAAAAAAAGACTGCGTTTCTTTCCTGTGTCTATTTTTAAAATTCCATTGCAGAAACTGATAAACCGCTAACAAAGGAAGTGCCAGTAAAACAAGCATATTTACTGGATGCTGACCGTGAGACCTCATTTAAATCCTTAGAACCACCCTAGGGAGGTTTCCTGTTGTATAGAGAAACTGGAGCTCAGGAGGAAACTGAGGCAGACTAGGAACCAGGGACTGTGCACCTCTTTCCACCACAACAAACTGCCTCCTGCATAGAAGGAAAGCATCCTGCAGCCTGTGTATGTCACATGCCACTGCCAGGAGGCTTCCCGGAAGGGGGCAGGGGTACACCATCCTTTAGGAACTCAGCTCAGCACCCAAGGGTGGTGAGGCCTTGAGCAGCTAAGGCTCTGTCTCCCTCCTGGTTTGGTAAATGGTGTGATGGGAGGATCCAACCCCAAGCCTTGGTGTGGGGTCAGTGGGTTAGGTCCCTAGAGCTCGGCATGGCCCACCTCAGGCCCTGCTGTTGCAAGGGAGGTGGCTGGGCCTTGCCAGGGGGCCAAGCAGGAGATCACTGGGCCTCCCTGAGCAGGTGACATACAGGTGCTGGATGGTTGCAGCTCCTCATTCCCCGAGTGGCTTATACCTAATGCTAGGTAGGGCCCATGGGGATGGTAGCTACGGAAGGCCCAGGACTCTGGCTCAAGGCAATAAAATCATCTTTGAAAACTAATTCCATGTATGGCTGATTTGCTGAACTGAACACATCTACCAGTTTACTGGCAGGGGAGAGAGCTTTCTTCAAGCATTTGGTATTTTTAGCCATCTGCCTAGAGGTGCTGCCTTAGTTACAGAAAAACATTACTGGTGCTGCCAGCTGTGGCAGGGGCTGCTCGGCCTTAAGCTGGGGTCAGATCCACACCAGGTGAGGCCCCACAGCCAGACAGGAAATTAGGGGCCTCCATCAGAGATGCTAGTGGAAAATTCTCCTGACATGCTATTCAAGGAAAAGAGTAAATTACACTGCATAATGCTCTGATTATCACCATGGGAAGATTAAGGCACTTTCAAGGGGTAAGAAAAAATGAAAAGAAAATCACACCAGTGTTAGCACTTAGTTATGATTAATACATGAGGCTGTAGGTGGATTGTGATAATTAGTTTTTTGTATACCTACCACTTACATAACAATTTCTAGATGTGGTATTTACACCTGCTAATGCATTTAATCCTAATAATAATCCTAAAAGTTAGATATGATTACTGTCTTTATTGTTACAGATGAGTGACCAAACCCCAGAAAAGTATAATAACTTGTTCATACCCACACAGCTATTCAGTAAACAGTTCAGCTGGGCTTTGAATCCAAATAATTTAGCTCCAGATTCTATTTTATTAACTTTCACACTAGAATGTGTATAGAAATAACCTGGAAGCCAGAGAGAAAAAAAGAATAATCTTATTACCATAGCTTAATACCCTTCCTATTCATTTGTGTCTCCTTTGTTTTTTTTTACAAAGACATTTACCTAATTTTGGTGTTTTTTTGTTTTTTTGTTTTTGTTTTGTTTTGTTTTGAGGATCAAACTTGGGTCCTTGCGCTTGTGCAGCAGGTGGCAAAACCACTGAGCTAAATCCCCGGCCCACTGTAATTTTGTCTTTATTGTACCTTTTTTTTTTCCCAGTACTGGAGTTTGAAACCAGGGCCTTCATGCTGAGGTACATTCCTGCTTCTTTTTTATTTTTTATTTGAGACAGGGTCTCACTAAGTCACCAGATTGCCTGGGCTGGGCTCAAACTTGGGATCCCCCCACCCCCACCTTCCAGAGTGCTGGGATTACAGGTGTGCACTGCCGTGCCTGGCTTCGTACCTCATTTCAAATTTTTATATATTGACATTAAATCATAACATTTTTCTTTGTGTTGGTACATAGTCATCACAGTCGTGGGATTTTACCACCAAGAAATGTTTCCATCATCATGAGGTAGCATTACTAATTCGCTATTTCTCTAGTCTACATAGGATATTCAGATTATCTGTGGAAATTCTTCCTAAATTTTATTTTGTTTTGTTTGAGACAAGGTCTTGTTATATAGTCCAGGCTGGCCTCAAACTCATGGTGATCCTCCTGCCTCAGCCTCCTGATTGTGCAAAATGGAGGGTAGTTCAATGCACAGAGTACTTTTCTTCTTGTGTATTATTCTGCCCACAACGGAGCTGATTTGACAAACAATGCATGCAGAGCCTGGCCCCTGCTGCCTGGAGGAGACAGGTGGGGGCCCTTTGTGGACCCTCCCTCCATGATTGTCATGAACAGGCTCCCGGCCGCCTCTGTCAACCTCCCCACCCTCTGCCAGTCATCAGACTCCCGACTCACCTGCCGGGAATGAAAGGGTCAGGAAGGTCTTGCTCTGACTTTTCCAACATTGCAGTTTGAGGATGAGTCTAACTGTGTTTCCTCCCTCTCACCCCATCCCTTCTGGCTGGCTGTTTCTCCCTCCAGGGAACCACACCAGGCTATGCCGACCATGCAGGCCCAAGCCAACACCACATCCTTGGGTGGTGCCTGGGGCTCTCCCACTGATGTAGCGCCGCTCACCAGCTCCGTATTGCTGAGACCCTCCTGCCCAGGCTGCGACACTGACACTGGAAGCCTAAGCTTGCCTCTCTCTACCTGAGCAGCAGTGAGCAGGGATCGTGGAGGGCTGCATCTCAGGAACAAGAGCACTGAGTGCAGAACCCCTCCAGGTCCTGGTCCACACAAGCCGGGCTCAGCAGAGTGGCTCCAGGACCTATTAGTGTGGCAGTCGAGGAATCCATGATGACCCTAGCATCTACAGATCCAGACACGCCCAAGTCCCCTGGAGACTGAGGCATCAGGACCCAGGGCAGTCAGCCAGGACTGCAGTCTCAGCATTCCTCAGATGCACCCAGCCTTTTGGCAACCATAGCCCCCAAAAAACCCCCCAGCCAGCTTCCTGACCTGTGTCAGCTGGAAAGAAGCCCCAAGCAAACTCATAATAAACACAAGCAAAATACATGGCACATCCTTGTTTGGGTAAGGCAGGGGAGGACTGGGCCACACACGTTCCTGCACCCCTTCCTCCCAGCGAGATCACTCAGGACTTCTGCTGTGATCTGGGCACGACACCACACCCTGGTTTCCTGTAAAAAGGAACTCACAGGACCGCTGGAGTGGGACAGCAGACAGCTGTGACATGCCCACAAGGAACTGGCTTGGGGCGTCCCTGCTTTCCTGCTCTGCCCTCGGGGGCTGTTTATGTCCTCTTGATCACAGCTCTACAGAGCTGAGCCTCAGGGAAACAGATGGCTCTGGGCTCAGATGCTTATCTCCCAGCATAGAGCCCTCCTAATCCAATTCTCCAAGACAGCCAAGAAGCCTATTCCCATAATCCTCAAGCTGGAGGAGGACACCAGGCCACCAGATGTGAGGCTGAGGGACAGAGGCTCCTGGCAGGGTCTGGGGACCTGGCATCCAGCAGGCTCAAAGTCTGCATCTTGCCCCAGGCCAGACTTCTTCATGCTCGTCATAATAGCTGTCATGGTTTACACATCACTTCTCGGTCACTCTGTCCTGGGTAGGCCAGGGTCAAGCCGGTGCTGGGCTCAGAGGCTCTGAGATGACCAGACTGGAGCACAAGTGTGTCCTCCTCTGGGAGGAGGACATGCTCTGGGAAATTGTGAGCCCAAGGGAAAACTGGAGGATAGAAGATAGAGGGGATGGAGGAGAAGGGGATGAAGCAGGAACTGGGCTAGAGGGGGAGGCCCTGCTGGAGAAGGCAGTGGGTGAGGTGTGGTGGATGTGGGGTGTGTGGTGTGTGTGGCATGTGTGAGTGATGTGTGGAGTGTATGCACCTGTGTGGTCTGTACAGTTGTGTGGTGTGATGTGTGTGTGGTATGGTTTGTGTGTGTGTGTGTGCGTGCACGCGCATGGTGTGCATGTGGTACGTGCGCTGTGTCTGTGGCTATGTGTGAGTGTGTGTTGAGGTAAGGTGGGGCACAGCAAGGCCAGCCAGGAAGAGGTGAGGGTTGAATCAGAACTCAGAACCGGACAGCAGCATGGGGCCCAGGGGACTCAGAGGCTTCACTCCCCTTTGTCTGAGATGGTGGCAGGATCTACAGGTCCCCAGATGTCTGGGGTTCATTTGAGCACAGAAAGAGCCAGATGGACATGTGAGCCAAGCAGATGCATGCGGCTGAAGGCAGGATGGATGGGGAAGGGAAGGCACAGAGGGAGTGGGAGAGGAAGAGGTGCACAGTGGCACCAGGATGTGCTGTCTGGGGTTGGCTGTGGGGAACAAGTTTATGTCAATGGCTCCTGAGCTGTCACACCCTAGTCAGGAGCTCCCTCAGCTGGAACCAGCCCTTGGAGAACCAGTGATTCCTGGATTCTTGTCTCTCCCTCTGCTCCTCTCAATGCTACCTGCCCCCCAAAACAAGAAAAAAAACCCACACAAAACTAAGCAGGTGCTTTTGAGAATCACCCAGGAGGAATGACTCAAGCCATGTGCCCATTTGCAGACCTGAACTCTCCGGAAATAGGCCATACAGAGAAAGGCTGCAGCCTTAAAACCCATCTCCCTGAGGGCCTCAGGTGGTGAAGACCAGATCCTTACGTCCCTAAACCAAAGGAAAACGTGGCTTGGCCCTTGGGGACAGGGAGCCACTCACTGCCAGCAGGTACAGGGAAGAGGCTGGCCTTTGGGACAGCAGCCCCCTGGGGCAGCCCAGGGAACTGGGGCCCTGCACCTCCTCCCCAACCTGTGCCATCTGTACATCCCTCCCCTGAGGAGGAGGAAAAGCTGGATTCCCAAGCAGAGATGCCCATGGCCCTGAGAGAGGAAGGAGCTTCATCCCAGAAAGACACTGCAACTTTAAATTTGCAGCATAGGCACTCAGACCTTCTCTGCAGTAGGAGAACTTTGCTCTTGAAGGACTGACCAAGTCCTATAGGACAGACCTTGTGAAGGAGGCCATTCAAGTATGGGGACAAAACCCAAACATCTGGAATAATAACTTCAGAATAATAAAAGTAGAATTCTTATGTTGCCCTAATTGTCCCCTTGAAGAATCTAGACATGGCTGCCGGCTATAGTAAGGTGAGAGAATACAGTCTCTATGGAAACCAAAGGGGTCCAGACTCCCTGAAGGGCAGATACCTGGTGTAGCTGATAGAGCACAAGACAGACTTGGGGATCAAATAATGGCCACTTGGTGACACTACGGAAGTTAGATAACGTCTAAGAGCCTCCATGCTCCCATCTGTAAACTGAGGCTGAGACTGTGTGTCATGGCCCATCTCATCTCTGGGCAAGCCACCTTGGATCTCCACAGAGGCCAGAGTGGGACGGTGACCGTCCACACAGCAACTTCACTCATGGTATCAGAAGCTTCCTGGTCTGGATGTGTCCTGTGCTCTAGTCTGGTCTCCTGGTGGAGGCTCGACCTGGCCCATTTATTAGCAGCCTCAAAACACATCAGCAGCTTAGGAGCAACTAACAGACTCACCATCAATAGCGCCCTCCCCAAAAGAGGTCCTAGGCCCACAGATGCTGCTTAACCTCAGTTAATCCACATTGCCCTCAGGACCTGCAAAGTGTTAACCATAAAGACAGGAGGTTTCCAGTTGCAAGATAGCTACACTGAGAAGTCCTTTCCATATCAAGACACAACGTTTTGCTTGTCCAGATCAATGTTTTAAAAATCCTGTAGTTGTGAACATTTATTCATGTGCCATGGTCACCACCTATCCCTATTGCCTGTCATCTCACTGTTGCACACATTTCCACTCCCTTCCTCACTCAGAAGTTTATACTCCCTGTATACTTGCTCTGTCTATTTATGGAAGGAGCAGGGAGCATGTCAAAGGCATCTAATCGGCTGTTGATTAGAACCAGAAACCAAGACTCCTGATATTCTTAGCTGCCGTTCATTCTTTCATTCATTTACTTCCTGTCTCAGTTTCTTTTTCTTGTTGCTGAGACAAAGTACCCAACACACAAAGTTAAAGGGGGAAAAGTTATTTGGCCCACAATTTGTAGAGGTTTCAGTCCATAGTGGGCTGACTCCATGGCAAAGAGGCATCACAGAAGAGAAACAGTTCATAGCAGGCAGAAGGAAGCAAGGGAGGAAGTAGCAAGTGACAAGTGACAAGCGACCATTCTCTTTCTGTCCCGTATATCCTATCCAGGTTACCCACCCTTAGGAGGTAGCACTCACACCCAGGGTGGGGCACCCTTAATCCTAGCATTGCACTGGGGGTCAATCAGCAGCACATCCTTGATCCCAGCATCACACACCCTAGATCCAGCCACCTCAGAAAAGCCCCACCTATGACCACATGAGGCTTTGGGGTGGGCAACACAAGCCCTAATACTCCCTCATTCATTCAGCCAGTTATAACCATTCATTGAGAACTGTGACAGTTTGGATAAGTCTCCCCTTAAGGTTCTCCAGGCCATGGGGCTATTGGAGGAATAAACATTTCTTTTTATAAGTTGATTATCTGAGGCATATGTTACAATAATAAAAAGTTGAGTAACACAAGGACCTACTATGATCCAGCCCTGTGCCATAATAAAGCAATGTATGAATAAAACCCAGCCTCTGAATGGCTCACAGCCTCTTGGAGGAGACACCCAAGCAGTCAGATTTCAGCACTTCAGTCTCTTAAGTGCCCTGTTGTGGCAACAAGGAGGGCCGGTTCTGCGTGAGGGCAGAGGCGTGGGTGGAGAAGAGGAGCCTACTGGAGACGAAGACCTTCTTTGATGTGTTCCACACCCAGGTTCAGTCATGCAGTGGACTGAGATAGCAAAGGAGACAACTATAGGATGGAAACAGGGCAGCTGGGGCTGGAGAGTCTGCCCACCAGGGTGAGTGTCACATTGAAAGTGGTGGTGTTACAATCCAGAAGTCAGTTACATGGAAACAGAACAGGGGCAGTCTCTCGATGAAGGGGGAAGGCAGGCCTCAGACCAGGAGGGAAGGGATCTCTTCCTCTTGCCACAGGAAACTGAGGCAGCCAGCTTGTACTGGGCTTTGGCACCTCAGGAGGACAGGGGAGACCATGTTCAGAGTAGATGTTATCCAGGGTTCCACTTCTGGCACTCTGGGCCCACAGCTGAGCTGCTAACTTTAGAGCCCCCTGCTATGAGGAGGAACTCCCAACTTTCATCCAGGTGGCTCCACCTGGCCCAGATCTGTCCCTCTCCTGGGCTGCAACAGACAGCAAGTGTCCAAAGACAGACTTTCCAAAACTCAGCAAACACTGCAGGTCTGCTCAGATCCCCTAATTACACCACCATCCCGGGTACCAAACCCCATCCTAGACCACAAACAGCTATTTTGCTGACTCAGCAGCTGAATGGATCAGCCAGGGACACCATATACCAGGGAGAGGGCAGCCTGTAGGGGCAGAAGCAGAATTCGAGGTCCTGCTGTGGCTGCACACTGCCCTTGTCATCCCCTCCCAGGCAGGGTGGTGAGGAGGGTGACCCCAGAAGGGCAGCACCTGCTACTCACCATCTCCTGTGCACTAGGGGAGGCCTGGAGAGCACCTGGCCCCACCCCTCCCTGGACAGGTGTGCAGGTACACTCAGGCCTATGTGTTCATGTGTGCACATCAACTGTGAGCAAGTCACATGTAGATGGTGTGTGTGTGTGTGTGTGTGTGTGTATGCAGAGGGGTCTGCAAATGAGACTGGAGCTCTTCGTGCATGCAAGCAGACAGTTGTGCGGATGTGTGTGGGCATACTTATGGACAGTTGTGCAAATGTGCATGTGTATGTGGGCAAAGACTGTGGATGAGTGCACACAGGAAGACCAGGTAAAGGCAAAGGTGTGGAAACGTGCATGAGTCCAGGGGGCATGTTGGCAGACTGAGCCAGAACACATGCATGCCCAGGCAGACAACCAACACTTGGATTCTCACTTAGCAGTTCTGGACCAGCTGCCACAAGTCCCCGGAGGAAAAGCTGTCAGAACCTGACCCGAGATGGCCTGATTTTGTCAGCATCCATAGGTGCTGTTCATGAGGCCCAGGAGAGGGGGATTTCACCAGTCACCATGAGAAGCTGTCAGGGGCCTAGAGGTCAGGGTGGCTGGGATGCATAAGGCTGTGCAAAGTATATGGGTGAGGACAAAGACCCAGGTGGCAGGGCAGGTGAGCCCCTCCCAGCTAAGACAAGCTGCACTCTTCAGGCAGTTTCTAGACCAGAACATTGCAAGGTGACAGTCAGGGTGACAGTGAAGAGCTGCTGTCTTCCAGGGTGGTCAGGTGCTCTGGGGACAGGGCCAGATCTAGGGTGGTCACCCCACCCCAGGCTACTGCAGACTTTACTGATTTCAGCATTGAAAGTCCTGCATCCCCAGAGAACCTCAGTCCTCCTGAATCTCTACACTGTGTGTGTGTGTGTGTGTGTGTGTGTGTGTGTGCATGCGTGCGCTCATGTGTGTCTCCTTAGGGAAAAGAATACCAAGTACAGATACAATATTAGAGCTAAGGAGGGGATGCGTGCCTGAGGGACCAAGCTTCAGTAGCTTCAAGGTCATCTCTCAGCCCGGAGAGTTTCAGCTTGAACCCAACCCCAAACAGGATGGGAATCCAACCTCTGTGCCTCACTGGCTGTGTGAGCGAGGCATGACTGACCTTCCTCGAGCCTTAAGTCTTTCCTCTGTTAAAGCACAGGCCCTTCTCTCTCCTCTCAGGATCCCTGGTCCCTGTTAAGAGATGGCTGAGGAGGCGCAGGCAGGGTTAGTGACGCCCTGCTCTCTCGAATCCTCCTGGGGAGGAAGTCTGCACCCCTTTCTCAGGGGGCCACACCATCCCAGGGCATCCTAGGAAGTAACCTGGCTTATAGACTGGCCCTCCCACCCCCATCCTTGAACAGCCCAACCCAGAGAAGGGGTGCGGGCTCCATTTCAGGCACACTCCTGAGACAGAGCAGCAGAGTGAGGCTCCAGCCCAGGAACTGGGCCAGCAGCCAGGCTGGCTCCAGCGCTCAGCTGCTGCTCCGAGTCACCAGCCAGCCAGGGCCAGAGCAGCACCGGAAGTACCCTGCAGGGATGGGCACTGCTCCACCCTCCCGGGGGTCAACACTTGGCTTGGCCTGCTGTGCCGAGCCTATCTCAAGATGGGGCTTAACTCTGCCTGCAAACCATCCTCCTTCCACCCAGGGCTTGAGAGCAGCTCTGCTGCACGCTCACCTCTCATAGTCAGTGGACAGACCAGCCTTGGGAGCAGGGAGAGGGGGCTGTGCGGCCCAGCACACCGAAGCTGAGACGCTGGAAAGCTGGCCTGGCCTGGGGGTAGGGATGCACTGAGATTCCAGAGAGGGGAGCCTGGTCGCCGCCACCCCTGCTCTTTGCTGTCTGCTCTGCGAAGCCCTTCGGATGGTCTCTGGAACCTGTGTGATTGCCAAGGCAGCGCCCCTTTAAACCCCCTTCCCCCACCCTCACCCCCAGCCCTTCGGCCCTAGGCTGGGCTCTTTCCCAGCACAGTTTTTGGGCTTCACAAATGCTCCACTCAGAGAGGGGAGCTAACTTCCTGAACCACAGAGGAAGTTCACGAAAAAGAAAAACTCCAGGAGAGCCCGAACGGGCCTCACTCGGGACTTGGGGGGCCCCGGGAAGCCCCGATCTTCCAGCGGCCTCCTCGGGCACCCTTCTGCTCCACGAGGCAGGCTCTTTGGACCTGGGCCTCCCCTTGGTACCCCGGCTCCGGGCTCCAAGAAGGGGGAGTGGCTGGCCTGGCCACGCCCAGCCCGGGGCGCCCGATTGGTCTGATGCGGCGGGCCGGGGCCGGGGGTGTGAACCGCTTAGCGCTGGCACCCGCACCCCGCCCGCTCCGAGGTCCTCTGGGCGCACAGGCCAGGGATGCTCTGCACTCCTGTGCTGCGCCAGCTCTCGGAGACATGGGGCGCGCCCCGTGGGCCGCCGCGGTCCTGGGGCTGCTGCGCTTCTGCTTGGGTGAGTGAGTGGCCGGGAGAGGAGGGGACACCGGGACCCAGTCCGGGACCGTGCGCTTCCAGCATGGGACGTGACGGACGCCTCCCCAGAGAAGGGATCCTCGGGGCCCGCTTCTTCGGACGCCGGGACAGGGGAGGGTGTCCTTCCTCACTGGGCGACCTTGGCCGGGCGCTCCCCGCCTCTGAGCACGATCCCCAGTCTGCCTTCTGATGGGTGGGACCAGGCGATGCCCCGTTTCCAAACTCCCCAGATCTTGGGCGTCCGTGGCAATTCAGCCTAGCCGGAGCTCCAGAAGGTGGGTGGTGGGGATCCTGGGGCGCTGGAGTTGGGCCCGGCCCGACTGTGACTGTGAATGCGAAGCTCTCTCCCGCGTCAAGGGTCTGTCCGTGCCGTTTCTCTTCCCTTCCTAGCCCAGGCCAACTTCGCCCCTCATTTTTTCGACAACGGAGCGGGCAGCAGCAACGGAAACATGGCCTTGTTCAGCCTCCCAGAGGACACCCCCGTAGGTGAGGGAGTACCCATAGCCCCCCACCCCACCCTGCAGGTCCCCCCCCCCCAGGCTCATGCTCCCCTGCCGCGGGGACCAAACCCGTGACTCCTCCGACCCCTCGGCGGCGCTCCCCGGGGCGCCCTGTTTGCGCTGGGATCCCTCGGGGCCATGGAAGGAAAGGAAGTCATCGTTGCCATGGCTACTAAGCCGGGCCAGTCCTAGGGACCAGCGCCAGGGCCCAAAGATGAGTGGCCCCGGGGGCAGGCAGCAATGGGCAGCACATCCGAAAGGCCGTTTCTTCAGTGGCTGTGTGACCTCGATTAAATGTATTTACCTCCCTGAGCCTCAGCTCTCTGAGCTTTAAAACCATCCAAGAACTTCCAGCTGGCTGAGATGTGCACCGAGGTGGGGAGAGGAAAGGGTTTGGAACCCCTCTTCCTCACCCTATCAGGCTTGGGAGCTGGGAAACGAGGGAGTAAGGGGAGGCTAGTCGGGCTGGGGCGAACCCCACCCTCGGCCACCTGTCCTGCTTTAAGGATCCTCCTTTCTCTCCCTCTCCCCACCCAGGGAGCCCCCAGCCTTGCTCTTGGGAGAGAAGTCCTTCCAGGCACGGGAAATACAGAGCCTCCAGTTAGGCAGAGCAACCTGAACACCTCTGTAATCCGCAGTACAGATTACCATCAGCAGAGCCGCTGACAACAGGAGATAGTTGTGAAGGATAAAGATAACAAGTTCGGCCAGCCAGCAGGGTGACACCTTGGCACTGAATTGAATACTCATTTTATAAACAATCAGATCCTTGGTTCTGTGCGGCTGCTACTCAAGAAAAGTTATATACCAGGTTATAGGTCCTCCCTGCTGTGTCTCCTTTCAGGCTCTCATGTGTACACCCTCAACGGGACAGACCCCGAGGGAGACCCTGTCTCCTACCACATCAGCTTTGACCCCAGTGCTAGAAACGTCTTTTCCATTGACCAGAATTTTGGAAACATCACCCTGGTTGAGGAGCTGGACAGAGAGGTATGGGGTGGCGTGGGGAGCATCACGGGCTGTGGCTGCTGGATATACCAATTCCTCTGCAGCCAGGAGGTCCCCTAGAGCACCCTGCTGTGCATCAGACCCTCCCTTGCAGAATAGGGGACAGAGGAGGGTCCCCAGCCCAGAAGCTTGGGGTTTCCCATTACAGAGGAGGCTTCATGAGCACCTGTCAGCCCTGCTAATCTTTTAAGTATGGGCAATTAGAAAGAAGTCTGTTTGCACTTAGAGGCTTCTAAAAACGCCTCCAAAAGTGGTTTTCAAGCCTACTATGGGAGAAGTTTTGTAAGCTGCAGGGAACTCAGGTAGCAGATGGAGCTGGAAAGCAGGCTGAGGGAGCAGGGCTGAATTTGGAAAAGCCACTCCCCTGTGCAGCCCTCTGTGGTGACAGGGTGCGGGCTTCCTTTCTGGTTTGACACCTGAGCTTGGGGCTTTGGGCATCTCTGGTTCAATGACAACATCCAGGAGCCTCAGGACAGGGCAGAGAAAGGAAAGGGAGGTCTCAGAGACTCAGAGACATCTGTGGCTGTGGGGACACAGGGATGGAGACTGGGATTGCTGGCAGTGCACACACACACATACACACACATACCCTGCTGGTTCATGGGCACTTGAGGCACCCTACACATGGATGTCTGCAAAACTCGAATGTGGAGAGGCATGGCAAGATGAGGTAGAGGGAAAGGATAAGAGAAAGAAATCTCCCTCCAGCACACCAGGGTCCTTCTCCCCTTGTGCAAGTGGAGAACACTTGCTGTTGGAGCCACTGCAATCCCTCTGGGTCTAGGAGAAACCCTGACCCCCACAGTGAGGTCTCCAGCATGCAGGAGGCAGCTGGCAGCCATACTAGTGGCACTGTGGCCACCACCGCACCCTGTTCCAGGGCTTCCTCAGCTCCTGCCCAGGCCTCCTCTACGGGTATAGGTGGGGCTTCACTCAGCCTGGAGTCCCCATGACATGTCACAGCCCGGGACACTCAATCTCTCTGCTTCACAGAAGGAGGATGAGATCGAAGCCATCATCAGCATTTCCGATGGCCTGAACCTGGTGAGTGGGCACTGAGCCACCCAGCCATATTTAGGTAGCATTAGGTCTCCCCCCGAGCCCTCTTGTGGGCTCCCTGGTAAACTCAGGCCAGGGCCTGCAAGACCCATCAGAAGTGCCCACATCAGGGGGCTGCAGCGAGGCCAGAGGAGAGGGAAGGAGGGAGGGAAACAGCAAGCTCCCTCGGCTGAGCTTCTGCTAGGTCCAACCCACATTCCCAGCACCTCCTCCAACCTACCCTCCCATCTGCCCCTAAACCAACCAAACACCCAGACCCCAGGCTCTCCTCACCTCCTGCCCCACCGCCCTCATCACTGCTTCCAGGGTGCTGCAGCAGGCCCCAGAGGTTCCCCAGCACCCCCCCCATGCACTGCAGAGATGTCACTGTGTAACGTTTATCTGGCCACTCCTCAGCTCTGAAAGCACCAACAGCTGGCCCCAGCACCCTTGGACTGAAATCCAAGCTTTCCAGGGCATTCAGGGTCCCATCTGTTGGGCACCATCTGCCTCAAACAGTTTTCTCCCCAGCTGCCCTGCCAGCCATCTAACTAGAATCTGTCCTTGCTGTGTGTCTTACCCCTCTTTGCCCTTGGGCTCAGAGCCCCTTTCCACCTCCTCCCTCTGGCAAATCTGCTGCAGGCTCAGTGTCTCCTCCAGGAAGTCTCCCTGCTCTTTGCCATGTGGCTACCCAGCCTTGATGCCTCTTCTTGGGCCTCTGGATGCTGCATTTACCCTGGACATGGTGTGCTTGCTGCCCTCAAGTGGTTCCATGCAGGGGCCCTGCCCTTAGGACCTGGCACACCACTGTTAGCACTCTAATGATACCTCCATGCCTCATCTCAAAGCCACCATGGCCACTGCAAAATAATGTACCATGCGAAGGGGGCACAGTTCTTGGCATTAAGTGGCTGCTTAATAATATTTCTTGCATGAATGAATAATAGAGGGAGGAAGAGGGAGGGGGAAAGAGGGAAAAGCATGGGTAGGGGGCACACCTGGGGCTGTTAGAGGCCACCATCCTTCATCCCCCTGGAAGGTGTCACTGCCCTGACTCCTGACCCCTTTGCCCCTTCTCAGGTAGCAGAAAAGGTCACTATCCTGGTGACTGATGCTAATGATGAGGCGCCCAGGTTCACCCAGGAGCCTTACGTCGTCCTGGTGCCAGAGGTGAGTGAGGTCCCAAGGCTTCCCCTAGGGCTGCCCTGTGACCTGGCCAGGGCACCAGACCTGTCCATGGCCCACTGCCCTTGCAAGGCCCTCACCTCTGCGTCCTCCCTACCTTTGTCACTGTGTCCTCCCTCGTTCATTTCTACTCCAAAGGTAGCCCTTTCATTGGTTGCCATCATAACCCTGATGCACACTGTCCTGCAATGGAGGGTAGAATTTGTCTCTTTGTCCCTTGCTAAAGCCAGGAATTTTCAAGCTTTAAAGTGTTTGCTCGTTCAGTGGAAGGGAGGGATTTCACTCTTGCTCTGTGCTGGGTGGGGACTCTGGTGGTCCTAACTGTGACCATGCTTATGATCCACCTCCTCACATGGAATTGCCACGTCATGTGAAAATCCTGGCTCTACTCGGGGTCTTGGTTTTCTTCTCCCATCCCCTTGAGGGTGTCCCCTAACCCTCCACAAAGCCTTTGCTCCTCCTTTCTTCCCCTATCCCTCCCTCCACTCCAACATATCTTTGTCACCATCCCTCCCTACACAGCTCACACAGTTGCTGTCACCTTGCCCCTCAGCCCTTCACTGCCCAGGCCCCACTAGGTCACAGCCCCTGGGCCTCTGGCTCCCTGAGCTCTGTGTCACTGCCCCTGACCCTTCCCTGTGGTTGTGACCCCTCAGGACACACCTGCTGGAAGTAGCCTCTTTGCAGTCCATGCTGTGGACAGGGACACAGGCTCTGGAGGGAGTGTCACCTACTTCCTGCAGGTAAGGTGGACACACAGAATTCCACCACACTGTTCTAGAGGGGACACTGGATGTCTTCCAGCTCCATGGGCCTAAGGTCAGTGGCTCTGTACACAGAGATGATAAAAGCATCCCCTCATTGGACTACCATGAGGATTAGATACATGTAACGCTCCAATTACAGCTACAGGGTCCCTGAGTCTGCCCACCGAGCCAGGGGTTCCTGCCACACCCCAGTAGGTGCACCTGGGATGGCAGCAGCTTACTTGTAGTTAGAAGGTGCCCCAGTCTCTCCTCCCCGTGACTCCTGAGCCCCTGATCCCTCTAGAGGAGCTCACATTGCAGGCCCTCCCACCCGCTGGGACTTCTGGGACAGAGCTCAGTCTAGTCCAGTGGGGAGGGATCGCACTGGCATTGACTGAGGGTGTGGGAGCACCCAGCACAGTTCATACAGGAGATCTGAGGTCAGAAGCACTGGTGCCCTGGAGTGGGATCCTCAGCCCTGACGTGGTGAGGATCCCTCAGTAAACATGGAGAGTGTTCCCTGGCAGCCCTCGCTCCTCCTCAAGGCCTAGTGGCTCCCCAACTCTTCCAGAGCCTCCACCTCACCAAATTTGCCATGGACCGCCACAGTGGTGTGCTGCGCCTCCAGGCCGGGGGCACTCTGGACTACGAGAAGTGCCGGACCCACTTGGTCACCGTGGTTGCCAAGGTAACAGAGGATGAACAGGGAGCATCAGCCTCTCCTCATTGGACTGGAGGACAGTTGGGTTTGGGGGGCACAGTTAGGGGACCCCCAGGCAGGGTGGGAACCAAGTGACACAGGAGGCAGCTGTGGGGGCTCATATCCTCCAGCAGGCTGGGCTCTTTGCGCTGGAGAGGCCCTGTTCCCTGCTGGGACAGAGCATGTGAACCTTTGAGACTGATAGGCAGGGTTCCTTAGGCAGGACCAGGTGGCCCCATCAGGGAGACCCCTGCCCCTCTCTGCAGCCAGGTCTCCAGGTACCCCCATCTCTGTCCAGGCTTGACCTCCTCATTCCTCCTCTCCATGTGACCAGTTGCCCCTTCCAACCCTCGGTTTCCTCATCTGCCCACCCCTTAAGCTTAATGATGTTCCTCACATTTCTGCAGGGCATGGTGAGGAGCTGGGAATCTGTGGGTGCTTAGCTCTGGGCCTAGTGGTTTATTTTGCAAAACTCATTGTGCTTTGAAGCTTCCTCCTCTGTCTCTGTATCCAAAGGAACTGACTGAGTGCCAGGTACTGGCTGAAACCTTTCTCACCTTGTTTCATTTAAGTCCTAAAACCCCCTGAGTCAAAACCTAACTTCCAGGGACACAGAAGCAGACAGAAACTCAGGGCAGGCAGCTGCCTCTTGATTCAGCCATCAGCTTGTAGGTGTACTCCTGGGCCCAGCCACCTTCAACCTCCTCCTGTCGCCCCCGGTTCCTCCCCAGGATGGAGGGGGCAGGCTACGAGGGGCCCACGTGGTGTTCTCAGCCACCACCACAGTCACAGTCAATGTGGAGGATGTTCAGGACATGGCTCCTGTCTTCGTGGGCACACCCTACTATGGCTACGTGTACGAGGACACCCTTCCGGTGGGTGGCTGCCCCTCACCAGGGTTTCCTCCAGACGCCACCTGTCCTTGTGGTTCTCCAGGGCCCCTCCTGGGGATGGCTGGGCTCCCTCCACCACCAGCCCCACACGCTGGCCGCCCTGCTCACACAGAGGCTGAGTCTGGATACACCGGGCTCAGGCCAGGAAGGACTCTGCAGCATCCAGAAGAGGAAGGGGAGGGATACCCAGCCTGGTGTGAGGAGTATCCACTGGGTGCAGGCAGAGGTTGAGCTGGACTTGTCTGGCTGTGTATCCCCAAAAAACCTTTCAAACAACACTCAGGGTGTCACAGGATGGAACCCACATTCTGAGACCCCCACACTTGAGGCCCTGTGGTCCAGACACACCTCCATTTCTCCCCTGCGCCCCTCTGGGGTAGAGGAGGGTAAAAGTGGAGGGGGCAGAAGGCAAGTGTAGTGTGTGGGACAGGAAGCAGGAGTTCCAGGACTCTCCAGGCAGCTTTTGCTTTGTCCCCATGGGCCAGAACATAGCAGGCACCACTGTCCCTCCAGCCCAGTGCCAGCAGAACCAGCCCATACCTTGGGGCCACCCAGAGGCCTTGGCCAGGTGGGGGTTCCAGGGAGGGGATGGGCCATGGCCAGGGAGGCGAGTCCCCCAGCATCCCCATCAGCCCCAGGAGCTCCTCCTCCTCCCCAGGGCTCAGAGGTGTTGACGGTGGTCGCTGTGGATGGAGACCAGGGCAGGCCCAACCACCTTGTCTACAGCCTCATGAACGGTGAGTCTGGGCAGCCTCAGGGCTGCTTCTCTGACTCTCCAAGGGACCAAAGTGAAGTCCTCAAAAACTCTGGGTCCTGGACCCTCTTCCTGTGGGACCAAGAGGACCAGAAGTTCTAGAGGGGGGGGGTTGGGCCCCTCGAGTGACGGGTGTGCTCCGTCCCTGCTTGTCGTTGGGCCAACAGCAGAGAACAGCCCTGGGGCCTGGCAGCAACGTAGGCTGCTTTGATTTTAGTTCCCTTCACCCAAGCCCTGTGTCTGATGGCAGCGGGTGACAGTGTTTCTTAGGCTCTCAGAATTGCTGTGTTTTCCAATTCTTTTAAAGTCTGGATTGAATGTATTAAATATGCTGAAACACACACACACACACACACACACACACACGGCAACATGCACAAGAGAAGGCTCACAGTATGGAACCTGGGAGCCAAATAGAAGTGAACTCAAGTCCCTACTCTGTTGTGTAACCTTCCACAAGTCCCCTTTGAGACTCAGTTTCCCCCTTAGCATCACACAGATGGTGACAATATCACATTGTATGAGGAGATTCCAGTTTGAGGAGCATGTGACATGATTCCCTTGCTCCCCACTGTGGCCCTGTGCTAAGCTAAACTGCAGTGCACATCTCTGACAGGGAGCAGTGGAGCCTTTGAAATTAATGAGACATCCGGAGCCATCTCAGTCTTGCAGAACCCTTCCCAGCTGCGCAGAGAGGTGTATGAGCTGCACGTACAGGTAACCCTCTCTAGCTGGGCATGCCCAGAAGTCTCCGGCCCTGGAGGTCTACAAAGACAATGAGATCTGGGCCCTCTTCTCTCCCTGGGGCTGTCTGGGAGGGAGACAGATGTTGCTGCACAGCTCTTCCTTCATCTGGGTACAGCAGAGATGAAGCCACCCACTAATGAGACAGGAATTCACACACAGGAATTGTGAGAAAGCTGGAGGGGGTGGGGCTGGGGCAGCAATGCCCCCAGCATGGACCCAACAGGTAGAGGCTGGAAGGGGGTTGGTGGGGTGGAGCGAAGGCATTTCAAGCCACACAAGCCAGGACACCCAGGGCAACAGCATATGGTGTGGTAGGGACTGGAGCAGAGCTCACAGCAAGCAGCAGGGAGGAGGAAGATGGGGATCCCAGAAATAGGGGGCAGAGGCCCCTAATGCTAGCATAGGGTTTTCCATGGAGCAGGTGTGTATGACCTGTGCAGTCACACAGAGGCTGTGGCTGGGAAGGTCCCATGCCAAGCTCTGCTGTGTGTCACCTTGAAATTCTTAATAAGTTTTCATGTTTCACTGGCCCAAGCGAGAGCACTGCAGAACCACTGAGCAGATTCCATGTAGAAAGCTCATTTGGCTACTCAATAAGCAGTGAATCCCCAAATATGGAAAGGGCACCTACCAGAGATTTCTGGTCACTTGTCCAGGGAATGGAAATTCAGTGCTTCTAGGTAACCCCAGGGCTCTGGGTGACTGAGTGACCACGAGTTCCAGACACCATCCTAGCCATCATTCAGGAACTCTGATATGCACTCAGGTTTGGGGAGAAGCAGACAGGAGGCAGAGGAGGAGGGACTGTGGGGATAAGGGAAGGGGGGATGGCAGAAAGGAAAACTGCAAAACAGGAAGGAGGTAGATTGCACAGAACTGGGCATTTGACAGGCTGTGAGGGGTGAGGGGTGAGAGGAGGTGAGCAGCAGCAGATACAGTGCTGCTTGGAGTTTGGGAAAGAATGCAAGTGCAGAGGGAGGGAAATGAAGGGTGTGGATGCTCGGGATATCCTAGGGGAAACATCCAGGCTTGGGCACAGAGGTTTGTAACTGAGAAGAAGTGTCCACATACACGGCGCAAGGTACAGGAAGGAATGAGGTCTCCCTGAGCATGGCCGGGGGGAGGGAGGAGTAGTTGGCCAAGTCCACAGTGCAGGAGCATCAGATGCTGAGAGGGAGGAGTAAGTGCCAGAGACCCAGGAAGGGCCCAAGAAGCCAAGGAGAACTTGATGACCTCAGCCGAGGGAACTGAGCTCTTGGGAAGACACAGAGGCTCAAGGGTGTGGAGGTCAATGTGTAGTGTTGGTGAGAAGGGAGAGAGTCAAGACAGCAGCTGGGCTGTGTGGCGGGACCTGTTAGGAGAGCATCCTTCTAGACCCAGAGCATCCTACTAGAAGAAGGGGAAGGAGGTCCTGGCAGAGGCTCATGGGATATTTGCCACATGGCTCATGAGGAACCCATGGCCCCCAGCCCTGGCTTTGCATCCTGAATTAGTTATCTAATGCTTTCTAACACATTGCCCCAAACCTAGTGGCTTCAAACAACATGTATTCATTTCTCTCAATGTGTATGAATCCACGTTTGGCTTGACCAGATCCTTGGTTCCAGGGTCTCTTGCATGGCTGCTACTGGATTGTCAAGCAGGGTTGGGGTCTCATGTGGAGGCTGGACAGGGACGGGTTGGCTCCCAGATCATATGGCTGTTGGCATGACTCAATCCCTTCACAGCTGTTGGCCAGCAGTCACTGTTAGTTTCTGCTTCACCAAAACCAGCAAGGCAGATTCTGCCAGCAAGATGGACATTATGGTCTCTTGTAATCTCACCATGAAGTGATGTCCCATAGTCTTTGCCAAATGTGGTCAGAGGTGAGTCATGGGGCAGGACCACGCTCAAAGAGAAGGATCACACAAGGGCATGGACAACCAGAGCCAGGATCATGGGAGCCAGCAACAGCCCACCTGCCACACAACCATTGCTGCTGTCCCCACCCCAGGTGACAGAGGTCAGCTCTGTGGGGAGCCCAGCTGCCCAGGCCGTGGTCCCTGTCACCATCAGGATCGTGGACCTCAACAACCACCCGCCGACGTTCTACGGAGAGAGCGGGCCCCAGAACAGGTTTGAGCTGTCCATGTATGAGCACCCACCCCAGGGCGAGATCCTGCGAGGCCTCAAGATCACTGTCAACGACTCCGACCAGGTGTGTGTCCTGCCTTCAGCACTAGTGGGGGTCTGTGTCACCCCTCTCAGCTCAGGTAGCAGGGACAGGGTGGTCACAAACCTGCCCAGGGAGCAGAGGGGCTATCTAATCAAAGGTGGTCTGCTTAGTCTAAGGGCATTCACCACTAAAAGTAAAAACGCCATCTGACCCTCCACCCCAGCATTTGTGACTATGCCCTGCCACCTCCTAGACCCAGTGTAAGACCAGGCCTATATGTTTTTACCTTGCTCAAATCCTGCTAAATGTTTCTAATCCTTGATCAACTCACTTTTAGAATGAAAGACTACTCACTTTTCAGGGTTAAGAGCATATGAAGGCTCCTTGCTTAGTATTAATATGTAAAGTGAGATAAAAAAATATAGTGAATGTTTAAATCCAAAACATTTATTACAGTAAAAGACACATTGCCATTAATTTCTCCAAAAAATACTTCATGTTGAACACACCCTATGATTCTCGTCACTTTCTGAAGCAGTTCTGGAAGTCTTCTTTCCTAAATGTCTAGTTGCACGGTCATGGCTGCCTCAATGTATTAAGCTGACTCAAAACTTTTACCTTTTGTCATTTTGACCTGGGGGAAGAGCCAGTAGTGGCACATTGTCAGATCCAGTGGATAAGGACACATCATAATGTTTTTAGAAGCCTGCCTTTCTACTAAATGGCACTCAGCCACAACATTTGCCATGTTTTTGTTCACTCCTTGTAAAGACATGAAAGAGAACCCTCAGAACTGCTTCAGAAAGTAGCAAGAATGATGGGTAAGTATGGTTGAAACAAGGGGGAGTGCTTTGAGGGGGATTCATGGCATTGTAATTTTGACTGTAATAAATTTGTGGATTTAAACATTCACTGTATATTTCGATCATACCTCATGCAGTATGTTTCTATTCTACTTATCTTCCCTGTTTCCTCTTTCTAAACTCCAACACCCAGGGAGCCAATGCCAAATTCAACTTGCGACTTGTGGGACCTGGAGGCATCTTCCGAGTGGTCCCACAAACTGTACTCAATGAAGCCCAGGTCACCATCATTGTGGAGAACTCAGCTGCCATTGACTTTGAGAAGTCCAGAGTGCTGACCTTCAAGGTGGGTGGGGCTTTGTATTGCCTTCTGGGAGGCTGAGGTAGGAAGATCACAAGTCTAAGCTCAGCCTGGGCAATTTAGTGACTTAGCAACACCCCACCTCAAAAGGAAATAAAAAAGATTGAGGATATAGCTCACTATGAAGGCCTAGATTCAATCCCCAGTACCAATAAATAAATAAACAAATAAATAAATAATCTTTTACAATAACAACCAACAGACAAAATTCTTAAGAATTACCATAACATGAAACATATATCACTTAAGTGATTAAAAACAAAATTTCACAAAAGAGCAGTGAAGGCAAGACATGAAGACATGTAATGGTGTACACCTTTTTATAAAAGTGCAAATTTTCTCTAAGTTAATAAAAAAATTTAAAATACCACCCCAACCCTTACCTAGAATTTCCTTTGGGAAAGTGGTGAGAACCTTAATATAATTATTTTGGCTTTTATCTGGAGAAACAAGAAAGGAATATGCGGATTGGTAAAAAGACACTGGCCCCAATACAGTTGGGAACAATGGGAACGCTGGCATCAGAAGCCACAAGGGAGGAAAGAGGTGCAACTTTCAGGTGGTTGCAGGGAGAGTCCTGCAGCTGAGAAGTGGTGGGTGCTGGACCAGTTTGAGAGAGATAGGTGTGGAGGGTTCTCGGCAGGTGACAGCCACCCCTTCAGTTTTCCTTCCTTCTCTAGCTCCTGGCCGTTGAAATGAACACCCCGGAGAAGTTCAGTTCCACGGCAGATATTGTGATCCAGCTCCTGGACACCAATGACAATGTCCCCAAGTTCACCTCCCACTACTATATTGCCAGGATCCCTGAGAATGCCCCAGGCAGCTCCAACGTGGTGGCTGTCACGGTAAGTTTGGTACTGGCCAAGGCCCTGGTGCTGGTTGAGAGCCCTGTGAAGGGAGACGAATCTAGGTTCCATTTAGATCGCACAGCCCAGTCTTTACCTGTGACCTTGCACGAGCAGCTGCCATCTCTTAGCTTCTGTTTCTTCATCAATACAAAGAGGCAATATCATCTCACTGGTCTGCAGTGAGGACATATGTCTAGACCCTCAGTCCAGAGCAGGACCATCCCTTTGCCTTCTCATTTATAGAGGAGAAACAAATGCTTTCCAGGTCCTGCATGTCTTTGGGCTCCTCTAACATTAGACGCCCCTTTGGAAGAAAGAGAGGGCCCAAGGCAGCCTCTCAGTTCCTGCCCTACTGGGCAAACCTCCCACTCCCCTTGCTTTCCATTGAAAGCAGCTCTTAGCTCCAGGGGCTGCCAAGGTGCCCTAGCCATGAGACAGGTGCCACGGTGAGCCTTCTCTCTTCCAGGCTGTGGATCCAGACACGGGATCCTGGGGCCAAGTCAAATACTCCATCTATGGGACCGGGGCAGATCTGTGAGTACATCCAGAACCCCAGACAGAGGTCTGGCAAGGGACTTGGGAGGCTATGGATGGAGCGGTTTCCTACTGAAGGCAGGGAGTATGTGAAAGGGTCAGGATCAAAGGTTGGGAAGGATGGGAAGGAGGTGAGGAGTGAAAGGAAGCAATGGTGACCCTGAGGCAGAGGTGTGGGGACTTTCAGTAGGTGACTGGGAGAGAAGAAAGTCCTGGTCACAGCATGGAGCTGGGCTCCATGGCTTCAGGAACCAGAAAAGCAGGGATGGGCTGTAGCAGTAAGAGACCATGGAGGAGGGGAGAGGGCTGCATTTTTCCCATTAAGTTTATTGGTACATTTTAGGTATAAAATACAGTTACATTCATCATTGGGATCTTGTACCATTACATGAGTATCTTGGTTCTTATTTTTTTCCCCTTCCCCTGCCCTCCCTTCACCCCCTCCACCCTTCCCTATTTGCAAAGATTTTGTTTCCAGTTTTTTCCTTTTCTCATATTTTTTCTTTTCTCTTCTTTCCTTTCCCCTGCCCCTCCCACTTCCCCTGCACCTTTAGACCTTTTCTTCCTGTTACACACTATCAATTATACATTTTTAAAATTACAATATCAAGATCTAGGAGACATTACCACAGATTTTACAGAATTTAAAAGGATATAGAAAGCATATTTCAGAAATCTGTTTTGAAATAAATTTGACAACTTCTAAGAAGTACCTTGGAAGACAAATTAATGAAACTAACTCGGGAGGAAATTTAAAATTTGAATAGCACCTATTAAAGAAAGTATATTCCTAGCTTGAAAAACCTACCTATATGACAACAGCAGGCTCAAAAACATTTTAACTGATAAATTATATCAAACAATTAAAGCAGAAAAAAAGAAGGACCACTTCTCCCTTCATTTTAGGAAATCAACATTGTGCTAATCCTAAAACTGGATAAAGATAATAGAAGAAAAAAGTATGAACATAGATAGAAATTTGTTTAACAAAACAAACTATTGGAAGTCAGATCTGGCAGGATGTAGAAAGTAGTTTTGTTATAGGGATGGCAGTGTTGGTTCAGCATTGGAAGATCCGCTCCCAAAAGTCATCATTTTAACAGAGGAAAGGAAAAAGCCATATGGTCCTGTCACTAGTTGGAGAAAAAGTATTGGACTAAATTCTACAGCTGTTCATGGTAAAAGCTATCAGGAGACTAGAAGTAAAACAGAACCTTTTCAACAGATTAAAGACATGTACTCCATACTTCCAGTGAGAACACCTTATATGAATGGAGAAGATACAATGCTTTCTCCTTAAGGTGGGGAACAAGGGCAGATATGCTTACTCTTCATCTGTTCATTAAACTTTGAAACCTAGGCCCCACCAAAATAATCTGGCAATAAAATGACACAGTTAGGATAGGATTGGCAAGGTAGAAGCAAAACCTTTATATGTAGATGAAATGATCATCTACAGAGAAAATACTCAGAAATCTCTAGGACCCCCTAGAACTTGTATTTGAATTTAGCAGCATTAGAATACACAAGGTATATATAAAAATTCAGGTCTGTGTATACTTTCTATAAATGAAGAATTGAAATTTAAAAGTTATGTAAGAGTACAAAGGGCCTAGAAAAGTTACATTTTAGGTTCTTAAACTCAGGATCAATAGCTGGGTGAGGAGTCAGACCAAAAGGAGAGACAGCAGGTAGGAGCCTTGGAGAATCTACCTGGTGCCCCCCTGCTGCTTTCCAGAGGCAGCTCATCCTTGCAAGCACTGTGTGCACGCACCTATGCACATGTGAGTTGCTGGTGTGTGCATTGCTTGTGTGCCCAAGTGTCTCTGTATGCTTGTGCACATGTGCACTGCTGTGCACTGGTGCCTATGCTCTGCCTGGCAGGTTCCTGATCCACTCCTCCACTGGGCTTATCTACACCCAGCCCTGGGCCATCCTGGATGCTGAGGCCACAGCAAGGTACAACTTTTATGTGAAGGCAGAGGACATGGAAGGCAGGTACAGCCTGGCTGAGGTCTTTGTCACTCTGCTAGACATCAATGACCACTACCCCCAGTTTGGAAAGAGCATCCAGGAGAAGACAATGGTGCTGGGGACCCCAGTGAAAATTGAGGTGAGTTTTAGGCAGCTGAACTCACCCTAAAACCTCATTGCAGCAACTGCAAGAGACCCCAGGACAAAAGAACTTAATGCATGCATCAATACACACACATGCCTGCAACAATGAGCTGCCTCGAATAAAATGTATTGGATTTGGATTCTCCCCAAGGCAATAGACTACAAGGTGCTTTATAGAACCTCAACTCCACTCCAACCTAGGAAACTTCTCTGAGAAAGAAGGCAGCCAATGAAAAACATAAAACTCAGGCAGCCTAAGAGTTTGTCTTGCCTTAGTTCCCATAGCTGGTCTTCTTGCCTTCAAAACAGTGCTCTTCCCAACACACTCCACTGTTTTCCTATTGTGGAAGAAGCATGAACTTGGGAGCCCACAGCCTCGACTTTGCATCCCAGCTCCCTTCCTCTGCCTCTCTCCTTGAACAAGTCACTTGGCACTGAAGCTTTTATTTATGCACCCGTGATATGGATTCACCAATGCCCACTTCCTAGACTTGTTCTGGGAATAGAACCTTGTAACACACATATAGGGCCTAGGCTTGATCCAGAGTCATACACAATAGGTCACACTCTCCATCCATTCCCAACTCCATCTACTCCAAGCAGGGTCAAGACCACTTCCTGTCACCCCAGTAAGCCCCATGTTCTATACTGACTCTTTCAGTGTTCACAAGTGTTTTCTTCCAAGCCCAGCTCTGTCTGTCCCTCTTCATGCACAGGCCACAGACCAGGACGCAGAGGAGCCCAACAACCTGGTGGACTATTCCATCACCCATGCGGAGCCGGCCAATGTGTTTGACATCGATGCACACACAGGGGAGATCCGGCTCAAGAACTCCATCCGCTCCCTGGATGCCCTGCACAACATCACACCCATCGGGGACTATAGGTGGTCCCTAGAGGTGCAGGCCAAGGACCGAGGCTCCCCATCCTTCAGCACCACGGCCTTACTCAAGATTGATATCACAGATGCTGAGGTGGGTTCGAAGCCATGGCCAGGGAAAGGGGACAGAGGGCCAGCCCAGGGAGAAGGACCATCTCCCAGCTTCCTCCAAAGGATGCTCAGTGATGTTACAGGGTTCTGGTGCTGTTAAACACACAGGCTTGGGAGTCATGTTGAAATTCTAATTTCATATTTATTAAAGGCATGACTTGAGGCTTCGCTAAGCCTCCACTGCCTTTCCTGGAACATGGGAAGAATGATGCCTCTTACACTAGGTGCTGGAAGGTGGAAAATCATATGTAGTTCTCAGCTCATTGTCTGGCAAAAAGTCATCACTTAAGGAGTTTCTGATAAGTCTGGGTTAGTTGGCCCCTTTATATACAAAGGCAAGGGATACAAAGGGAGTGATTCAGGAGTCTGGAATCAGAAAGAGATTTGTAATCATGTTCTGCTCGAGTGTGTTGTTCTAGAGGATGGCTTGAACCAGCTTTCAGTGTGCATTTTTCCATAAAGAAGCCCATAGTGGTTATGTTCTCAAAGAGGTGCCTGACCAGATAAACCCTAACAAAACAGCAGGCTTAAGGAAGCTCATGCCTCCCACACTATTCTTTGGGGACCAGGTGGGAACAGCTGAATGCAGGAGGTGGCCCTGTCTTCCAGACGCTGTCCCGAGACCCTGTGACTGCCTTCCTGCTGCAGACCAAGGACAACCCCATGAAGGCCATGGGTGTGCTGGCCGGCATCATGGCCATTGTTGTGGCCATCACCGTCCTCATCTCCACTGCCACCTTCTGGCGCAACAAGAAGTCCAACAAGGTCCTGCCCGTTCGCCGCGTGCTCCGAAGGCGGTCCAGCCCTGCACCCCGCAGCATCCGCATCCAGTGGCTCAAGTTCAGGAGGACCAAGACCGCCACCAAGTTCATGCTCAAGGAGAAGCCCCCCAACGAGAACTGCAACAACAGCAGCACAGGAGCCCCACTTCCCCCCAAAGCTCCATCTCTCCCTCCACTCGCCAGAATGGCACCCAACACAGTCGCACACTGGATGGTGCCTACTGTCTCTGGATCCCTCGCCCCCCAGAAACCCCAACAGTCACCCAAGGCCCTGGCCTTGGGCAGCCCTGTCAGGTCATCTGTGGTCTCTGAGCTCAAGCAGAAGTTTGAGAAGAAGAGTGCAGACAAGAAGGCTTACTTCTAGGGTGTAGCCTGTGGCCATGTCTTCCTCCCCCACCCCACCTGACCACTCCACTGCTTCCACAGTGCTCCCCACCCTGTCCTCCTGAAGGTCACTCCTGTTTTGTATAGTGATATAAACTCCCATTTACAGGGCTCTGGATGGGGCTTTGAGCCCCGGGCTCCTCAGGTGATAGAACGGGCAACTCTCCCATCATCCACATCCTGGGCACAGCTGGAACGCTCCCTGTTCTTCAGGAGCTGCTCTCTGTATCCTGTGCTCACCAACTCCAGACCTCACAGTCCCTCTGGTCCCCCTGTGGTCTCATCATCCTTCCTCAAGGAGCCATGGGTGACAAGGCCAGTGAACTTCTGGATCCTGAAGCCTGCGGCTAAGAGCAGAGGCAGGAAAGGGAGGTTGAGCCCTGCAAAGCCTGTGGTCAGCAAAGCATGCAGGCCACAAGAGAGCAGATCTGGGGCAAGGAGAGGGCAGAGATGTCCTGAGAACTCATGTTGAGTGCAGGGCTGCACCCAAAGCCACGGAAACCATAGGGCCTGGCGAGGTCATGTGAGATCATAGGGTGAGATCATGGCCCCTGCTCTGCCCAGTGGACCCAGCAATTCGCTGTGTGGGATGGGCTTTGCTGAGAGCACAGCAGAAGTCCCCAGTCAGATTGTCCTGGGCCCAGAAGCTGGAGCCTCAGTGAGAGCCTGAGGGCACCGAGAAGAGCATCAGAGCCCTCTTTAAAGGACAGAAGGAGGGCTGAGATCTGGAGAGACTTCTGCTTTTACCCAGCTCTGTTCACTTGTGTAACCTTAGGGAAGCTGGTTTCTGTTTTTGAGATGTGGTCTTGCTGCGTTGCCTGGTCCAGCCTAAAACATGAGAGCCTCTTGGCTCAGCCTCCTGAGCAGCTGGGATTACAGGTATGTACCACCCTGACCAGCTTTAGGGAAGCTGTTTAAACTCATCATCATCTTCCTCATCTGTAAAGTGAAGGAAGTAAGCCCCATGAAAACAGCAGTGTGAGGGCTTTAGCCACATACAAACCAGCATTCAGTACTTGGAGCAGTCCTCCCCGGAAGTATTAGACCGTCACAGCTACTTTCCCAGGTACCCCCAGGGGGTGCTGTGCTGAGCATGGGAGCAGCAGAGCAGATGATGACTTTGCCCTTGCCATCCCCCTTCCCTCTCCCTCACCCCATGCCACTGCCAGAGAGAAAAAGAGCTCAGCAGCAGCGTCCAGTCCAAGCCTGGGGAAGTGGTTGGTCCAATGTTACTGTTGGTAGCAGGGTTCTGGTCTGAGGGTCCCCACCTCCTCCAAGTTTTCCTCTAGCTGGGGTGTGACCATCTCTGCCAGAAGAGAAGTCCTCCAGGGCCTCTGTCGTTAATTCAAAGGAGTTCTGTCCTGGTTAAGGATGTCTGGGTATGCACACATGCACATGGGGAGAAAAAAGCAGGATGGTTCTTTGTATTTGCTCAACTTGTGAATCAGCCCTCTAGACTGTGCCCAGGAGTGTGAACAGAGGCTGTGCACATGTGGCTTTCCTGGTGTCCTGTCTGTGTTTTGAGGTGTTACTGAGATGTGCCAGTATGCAGAGTCCTTTTGGGGTGTCTGCAGTCCCTGACCCAGAGGAGCCCAGACTGGATAGGGACTTTCCAGCCCATGTTTTAGGAGAGGGCTGAACCAAGGTTACCTCTCCAGAGAATACAGTGCCCTTCCGACATGCATGCAATCCACCTCTTTTGTAAATGGTAAATAAAATCTGTAACCCGAAGGACAAGCTGACCTCTTGCTGCTCCTTACGTGTGTGCTCCCTGGCTTATGGAGACCAGTCCTCCTCGCCCATGCCCCAGCTCAGCTTGCCTTGGCCTCCTCCTGGCTTCTCCAGTGGATGAATACACCCCAACACCTGGATCTGACTCTAATGGAGGCTGCAAAATTTGGTCCAAATTGCCTGTGTAAGCATCAAACAGGAGCACATTTTCGGACTCATCTACCTGACTGTGGCCCATGCCAGGCTTGGACTGGGCTTTTCTTCTCAGGCAGGGTGCTTGGCAAGGAAGGGATCTGGAGCTAGAAATAATGAGCCCCAGTGTAGCTCAGCAGGGGCAGCAACCAGGAGGCCAAAAGAACAAGGAAGTAGTTTGTCTCTGGGCTAGTGGTCATGAAGACCTCTGAGCTGGAAGCCCAGGTCAGCATGTGGACCCTGGAATGGAACTGGGCTCTGGGACAAGCCCTAGAACTTGACCAATCAGAGCTAGTCCTAGAACTGGTCACTGAGGGCCAAAGAGGCTACTATCCAGCATCAGCCATGCTGGAGAAAGGAAGAATGTTCCACCAAGCCAAAGGGACCAACAGATTTGCTCAGCACTGGGGAAACATGCCAGGGAATCAGGCCAGCCACGTCCCACTGCATTAGGGAACAGCGGCGTGAGGTGCTGCCTGCACGGCCACATCCAGGCGGGCCTGGATCTGTAAACTGGCATGATGTCAGGCCTCTGGGTAGAGAGCTGAGAGGCAGGAACAGCAGCTGGACCCTGAGAATCAAGCATTAGTGGCATGCATAATCAATACATGTATCTCAGAGAGATCTGAAGTCAATTCCCCCATCACCTTTCGCTGAGCTCAGACTTTCTGACCATATGAAATAATAAAATGCATTTACAAATCACTAGCCCTCGGTCTGAATTCAGGTCCTGCCACTGAAGTGTGACTTTGGGCATGAGACCAAGACTTTTGGGCCTCACTTTTCTCATCAATATAGAAAAGACTTGTCCCAGGAGAGTGATGACAGCTATTATATGCAGAGCTCCTTGCTTCCCCTTTGCAGCTGCTCACATCAGTTCAGTAGAGAGTCGCTGTCCTCTTATACAGAGGCATTTGAGGACTGCTGGCTGTGACCGCATATCCTGGAGGATAGGATCCTCCTCCATTCAGCCTCTCCCCAGGGCATCTCCACCAATCCACAGGCCCAGGAACTGTTCCTTTCTACTAGGAGAGCAGAGGAGGAGAGGAAGGAAGTGAGGGAGGGTGTGGCAGCTGCCACATTATCCGTGACCTGTGCAGCCTGCAGCCCAAACTCAAGCATCTACACTCCAGGGCACTGAGGGACTCCTGCAGGATTCTGTCCTGAAGCAGAGCCATCTGCAAAGTGTAGCATGATCTGGGGAGGAGTCACCATCCCCTGCTTCTCCAGGATTCTGTCTCTCTGAGTAATGGAAGTTGTTTTGTTTCGTTTGGGAACTGGGGTCTCACTATGTTGCCCAGGCTGGTCTTGAACTTGTGCTTTCAAGCAATCCCTCCTGCCTCAACCTCTTGACTACCTGGGACTACAGGCCCGTACTACCACATCTGGCTCAATGACAGTCTTGTCTGACAATCTGCAAGTTCCCTGGCCATGGGAGGAGGGACAGGGAGAATGGAGACAATGCTGTATGCCAATCAAGGCAGGTGGACTGGCATGAGGACATGAGGTGTCCTCTTAAGAGACTCAGAGAAACTTAAAGGATGCTCTGAAGGGCCTGGTTTATAGAATGAGGTGGTGCTCGCTTTGGCAGCACATATACTAAAATTAGAATGACATGGCCATGCCTTTAGCCAATTAATGAAGAAGAGTAATAACAGGCTGATGCCAGGGACGTGAATGTGACATCATGAAATCATGCACATGCTCTTCTGGCTGAACAAGGTCCGGCCCCTCATTTATCATTTATTTTATTTTTCAGATCACATCTGTGCAGATAGGTGGTCGGAGCCTGTCATCTAAATCAGGCTCTTGAGGACAGGGTCTCATGAGACAGAAGAAAAGAGGAAAAGGGCAAAATCTCTTAAGAAAGTTGCTGATAGCAGAGCTCTGGGAGGAGAGTGGCCTTCACTCTAAAAGCAAGCAGCATTCTTACAAATGTCTCCTGAATCCAAGGTGTTTGCCTTAAAATTAAAATATCTAAATTATAAATACATAAGCTTCCTCCAAGAATGGCAACTGGATCTAAATCTACAGCGTCCTTTAAACATGAATTAAAGGGATCAAGAGATTGGTGGATGGGGAGGAAAGGAGGGACAGGGGGTGAAGAAAGGAATTAAGACATGTTGTGTACATGTAAGCAACTTCTCACAAGAAATCCAAACATTATCTACTACAAACGTGTACTAATTAAGAAAATTAAAATTTAAAAAGAACCCCTCAAAATGCATGAATTAAATAGAACATGTGAAAGACATTTTTGTTTGTTTGTTTGTTTGCTTTCCCATTAAGTTTACTGGTACATTTTAGGTATAAAATACAGTTACATTTATCATTGGGATCTTGTACCTTTACATGAGTATCTTGGTTCTTATTTTTTTCCCCTTCCCCTGCCCTCCCTTCACCCTCTCCACCCTTCCCTATTTCCAAAGACTTTGTTTCCATTTTTTTCCTTTTCTCATATTTTTTCTTTTCCCTTCTTTCTTTTCCCCCACCCCTCCCACTTCCCCTGCTCCTTTAGACCTTTTCTTCCTATTACACAATAAAAATTATACATTTTTAAAATTACAATATCAAGATCTAGAAGACATCACAGATTTTACAGAAATTAAAAGGATATAGAAAGTATATTACAAAAATCTTTTTTGAAATAAATTTGACAACTTCTAAGAAGTACCTTGGAAGACAAATTAATGAAACTAACTCTGGAGGAAATATAAAATTTGAATAGCACCTATTAAAGAAAGTATATTCCTAGGGCTGGGGATTTAGCTCAGTGGTTTTGCCGCCTGCTGTGCAAGCACAAGGACCCAAGTTCGATCCACGGTACCAAAAAAAAAAAGTATATTCCCAGCTTGAAAACCTACCTATATGACAACAACAGGATCATATACATTTTAACTGATAAATTATATCAAACATTTAAAGCAGAAAAAAGAAGGAACACTTCTCCCCTCATTTTAGGAAATCAACATTGTGCTAATACTAAAACTGGATAAAGGTAATAGAAGAAAAAAGTATGAACATAGATAGAAATTTGTTTAACAACACAAACTATTGGAAGTCAGATCTGGCAGGATGTAGAAAGCGATTTTATTATAGGGATGGCAGTGTTGGTTCAGCATCATTTTAACAGAGGAAAGGAAAAGCCATATGATCCTGTCAGTAGTTGCAGAAAAAGTACTGGACTAAATTCTACAGCTGTTCATGGTAAAAGCTATCAGGAGACTAGAAGTAGAACAAACTTCTCAACAGATCAAAGACATGTACTCCATACTTCCAGCAAAAATGCCTTATATGAATGGAGAAGATAAAATGCTGAAAGACATTTCTGTAGATATCATACCATTCCATATACAGATGCTCCTGCACTTGCAATGAGGAAACCCAGGGTAAGTTGAAAGTATCCTAAGTCAAAAATGTATTTAATACCAGATATGGTGCCATATGCCTGTATTTCCAGCACTCTGGGGAACTGAGGCAGGAGGATCACAAATTGGAGCCTAACCTGGGCAACCTAGCGACTTGGGGAGGACCTGTCTCAAAATAAAAAATAAAGTAGGAGCTGGGGATGTAGCTCAGTGCACATGCCTTGGTTTCAATCCTGAGTACCACAATATATACATTCATACATAAGTAAATAGGAATTTTAGACACTCAACTTACCAAAGATCCTAGCTTAGCAACATAGGAATCAATTGTTTCCCGCCATGATCTCCGCTGCTGTCCAGCATCTCAAGAGAGTTTATGCTACATATCACCAGCCCAGCAAAACACCAAAATTCAAAACTGGAAGTTCAGTTTCTACTGACTGAATATCATATTCATACCATTGTAAAGTTGAAAAATCATAAGGCGAACCATGGTACATCCAGGACCACCTGTAATATGAACTCTTGGAATGTTTCAGGAGACAGACAAAGGGGCTTAAAAAATATCTAATTCTTTACTCCCTATTATCTGCTTTTTATTTTGCTCTTTATTTATACTTTGTGCTTCACATATAAGAGAAACCATGTGATATTTGAGCCTGTGGGTCTGATTTATTTCACTTAACATTATGGTCTCCAAATGCATCCATTTGTCAAGAGAGGGAGGGAGGGAAAGGGAATGAAAAAAGAACTGAGATGTGTTATGTACATGGACCAGCTCCATACAAGGAGTGTAATCATTATGTATGGTAACATGGACTAATAAAAATAAAAGCTTAAAAAACAGTATTGGATTCCCAGACATCCACTCTAGACCATATTCCCCTCCCTAAATGTCCACACTCATCCCATGGTCCTGGCTCTGTGGCCCCTTCCTCCTCCTGGCCTCTCTGCTCCTCTGCTGGGCTGATCTGAGAATGTCCCCTCCTGCTCCATGGTGGCACCAGGCCCCTTCATGTTGGCTGCACCCTCCAACCCCGCCCTTCATCCTGTGGAAGGGAACACGCAGAGGTCAATAGCAGAGGTCAATACAAGCACCGTCTCCTGCCTTGCCCTAAGCTTCACCTTCACAACTCACCATAGGAAATTTCTCATCAATGAATTCTCTCTGTATGTCCATCAACAGGTGAATAGAGTATGTGGGATTTACATACCACAGCAGCCAGAAGAAAACAACTGAGGAGAACCTGAAGAAAGGAGGAATGATACGTCTGAAAATGCATACTGTCTTCAATTCTTAAGAATTTATGTCCAGCTCTCGCCATTGTTCGAGGCAGCCCAGCAGCTCCTTCCCCAATAAAGCCCTGCCTTCGGTGCTCCTGTTTCAGCTCATTTTCTTTCATTCTGGTGCCGAAACTTGGGAAGACAACAGTTGGGATTTTGAGAAGATCCCCCACTGGCTGGGGTTGATTGGCCTCCTGGCTGTCCTTCCCGGACCCTGCCAGTTGAGCACCTGACCAGGGGCCTTCATATTTGCCGTTGCTGACACCCCACATCCACACCGGTCCTTAATCTCTGAGTGAGTGCTCAGATCAGCCTCTCTCTCTCTCTCTCTCTCTCTCTCTCTCTCTCTCTCTCTCTCTCTCTCTCTCATCCTCTGTCCCTTTCTCTCAGAAAATCCTAGTGCTAGGTCAGATGGACTCCTCGCCCTGTGGCCAGGACCACCACCCCTGGGGGACACCCCATCAGCCCAGCTCACATTATCTCTGTAGATTGTCAAAGGAGACAAGGATGCTCCTCCCTTTTGCCCATCTCGGGAGCTATCTGATACTCAGCCTCTACATCTGGCCCTCCCTTGACATGGCATTTACACAATCCGAATCTCTCCAGTCAACGCGCTGGGATGTTGATAGCTAATCTCAAAACTCTCAGGCTCACAGGTGACATCAAGCCCCAATGCCTTATTTTTTTTTACCGCAATCAGTCCCCAACATACATTAAACAATGACTACCACTGGGCAGAAAATGGAACATTCAACCCAAACATTTTGCGGGATCTTTACAACTTTTGTCAACACAACAGCAAATGGTCTGAAGTCCCCTACATGCAGGCTTTCTCCTACCTTCGTGCCCATCGCTCCCTCTGTCAATCTTGTGTCACCTCTCAGATTCCCCTTTCCTGTGCCAAGTCACTCACAACCCTCATCCCTGCCCAGTGCCCGACATGTCTGGCTTCGACCCGGCTGTTCATTCCCCTCTCGCTCCACCTCCACCCTACAACTCCACCTCCACCTCTTCCTTGGCACCATAGGCTCCCTCCTTGCGCTCTCCTCCCCACATGGATCTCACTCACCACACTCAAAGCCACCCAGTCCCTCTACTTCTCCACCATGCTCACTCTCTCCCTACTCCTCCAGCCCCTCCCAAACACGAGAGTGAGTCAACACCCCTGCCTCTTCAGATGTAGCAGCCACCTTCTACCTCTGTGTCTCCTCTTACCTGCTACTGCCATGTTACACAAAAGGCCGCAAAGATAGGTGAGCCTTTTAAGGTGCCCACACCCACTGCTCTGCCTGCTCTCCCCACCTCAGCTTCCCCTGAGGAGAGAGGGAAGCAAGACTCTACAAAAGAAAATAAAATACTCTCCTGGCCCAACCTATTTACATATCAACAAATTGTTTGGCAGGCTACATTACCAAGAAATTTCACCAGGCCCTATTGTTTTCTACATAAATATTGGAAAATAAAATATAAGGTTTTAAAACAGTTCAAAGAAAATGTAATGCTTAAGATCGGAGCTCAAAGACCAAATGCTAGGTTCCAGCCCAGTGCCTGCTACAGTCTTCTTGCTCCATATTAGGCAAGGGAAACTTAAAAAAAATCAAAAATCAGATTATAAATTTCTGCTAATTGACAAATATACCTTTCGTCTCCAAATTAAATTGATATTTAATTGGTGTTTGGTTTCCAGGTGTTTAATTGATGCATTTAAAACATTTGTTTTACATTACAAATTCTTGAATTGTAATTATAGGATTAACTTGACCTTCTCTCTTTCTGCTTACAGACTTCTGACACAAGACTTATAACACAAGATTACAGACTTATAACACAAGATTATGCTACTGTTATTCCTTCTGATTCTAATTACAAGAGATCTCTGTTAATTGACCTACAAAACTTTTGACTAGTCTTAATTAAAAGAGATGTTATAGGGCCGGGAATTTAGCTCAGTGGTTCAGCTGCCTGCTTTGCAAGACCAAGGTTCCGAGTTCGAGCCCCCGGTACCAAAAAAAAAAAAAAAAGAGAGAGAGGTTATACTTCTTTTTTTTTTTGGTACCGGGGATCAAACTCAGGACCTTGCACTTGCGAGGCAGGCGGCAGAACCACTGAGCTAAATCCCTGTCCCAGTTGGTACTTCTTTTTTTTTTTTCTGAGAGGCTATAATTCAATTGGCCAAATATATTTGAGTGCACTCTAGTTTCATAAATTGTCTTAAAGGTTTGTCTGTGCCTGTCCAATTGTTTGTTTGTGTTTGTTCAATTGTATTTTTGATAAATGTTATTAAAGGTATGCCTTCCTTTTCTCTCAGGTTGCTAGCTGATCAAAATGACATCAAAGATTAATTTTGATTGTAATGCATATTGCTGTCTACACTCTATAACTTAAAAAGTATATATGTATGTATATATATATTTGTTATTGGCTACAAATAAATTGTTAATTGTTATAATTATTACAGGTTATATAAAAAGGAAATTGTTAAGGAAAAACATCGAAAACAAAGTCTTTGTGCATAGGGAAGAATGGAGGGGGTGAAGGGAGGGCAGGGGAATGGGAAAAATATAAGAACCAAGATACATCATGTAAAGGTACAAGATCCCAGTGATGAATATAACTGTATTGTATACCTAAAATGACCAATAAACTAAATGGAAACAAAAAGGAAATTGTCAAGATAATTAAATAAAAACTTTTAGGTTTGGGGAGATGGCTGGATGCTGGGACTCCCCTTGATGTATAAAGAAGCAGCTGCTCAGAAAATAGTTATTTCTGGTCTTTGTTCACTAATGGGAGCCCCAATAATTTTTATAGACTCATGGGAAGACACACCCCTAATTAACATTGCTTAAATATGTTATTATAAAATGTTTGTATTGGTTATCATTAAAGGGTTAAGTTTTAAATATGTTATTGTAATATGTTTATATTGGTTGTCTTCAAAATACAATTTTTTCAGTGGAAAAAACAAGGTGTTATTTAAAAAGATGCCTTTGGTACCAAGCTATTTATAGGACATAAATTTGGATATAATTGTAATAATTATTATTGCTACTTTTCTGGTGTACAAAATGTATTCATGCCTTCTGACTGTACAGATTTTCTAATATATTGTTTATAGTAATAACCTTTTGATTTAGGTATTTGCCCTTTTCTTATGCTCCAGCTACTTATGATAACAGGTACATTTATAGACCAAGATATTTTCTTTAGATGGCAGCCTATCAAAAGATAACAATTTGGGGCTGGGGATTTAGCTCAGTGGTTCCACTGCCTGCCTGGCAAGCACAAGGACCAGAGTTCAATCCCCGGTCCAAAAAAAAAAAAAAAAAACAATTTGTGTAAGAGGTTTTATTAATGTGTTTTTGTGAGGGAGTGAGTGCATTTAACAATGGCTATTTTATACTAAGATATATATCTAAGTTTGTTACAAATGATTGTCATGTTAAAGTATTATTATTATGTGTGGCTCCTGATTCAAAGTTTTTTTCTGTTAATATTCTACAGGAAATCAACTACTAGAACAACCATGATTGATAAAAATAATAGTCCTCTAACTATATTTTAGATTCCAAAATGCTTGCTATTCAGGTAAAATTTTAATAGTTAAGCTCACTGCTCCTACTGCACTACTGTCACTGATCTTCTCTTCTGGGTGTTCAACAACTAAAGTTTGGAAACTAAAACTAGAAAGGTAACTGGGCTAAGAGGACTGTTAATATTTTGGCCCTGGCCCCTCAAAGTCAACAAAGAATCCAGGACATAACGGAACCTTTTCTATGGGATTCTACGTCTTTGTGAGTCACCCAACCTCCTGAGCACGGAGATTGCCAGACACCAGAGGACAAATGTACCATGTGAATAAGGAGGGTCACAAAGAGGGAAAAATCTCCCATGCTTTCACTGAAAGCAACATGGTCAAACAAGGCCTTGACCCATCCTGAAGGTTAACACTGACAGAGGAGCTGAGAGGCTCTCTGCATGATTCCAAAATAATGCCTGAAGAGTCTTAACTGACCTTGATAGCAAGATGTTCATATTGATTGACACAGGTCTCACTTTAACTTGGTCTTAAACACCCAGCAGAAAAGAATAACTAAAAGAGGTATAAAATAATGCCATAGTAATAAAGGCAGGTATAAAAGGGGGCTCCAGTCACTGACCCCTTCTGGCAGTTTCCAGCTCTACCAGTAGCTGACCATGGTTATGGATCATTAGGAAAAACTATGGTAAAATCTATAAGATTTCAGCTAGAGTTTTAAATTTCTTAGTGAGATTTTGTTCTTCAAACTGTCCCTTACCTTCTTACAGCTAAAACTAGAGAGACTTATGACAAAGTATCAGACTTATAGATAACCTTTATCAATGAAGAATCTAAGAGCCAACAGGTTACAATCACTATTTCAGTATCTAAGTGTGACTTTCTCCCCGACCTGCCCTTCTATTCTAGTGTGCTCATACTTAGATATTTTTTCACTAAGTTTATTGGTATATTTTAGGTATTCAGTACAGTTACATTCATCATTGGGATCTTGTACCTTTACATGATGTATCTTGGTTCTTATTTTTTCCCCATTCCCCTTCATGCTTAGATTTTTTCATGCTCTAATTTCTTTAAAAATCTTTTTATTTTTGCCTATAGACTGCCAAGTTTAAAGTGATCATACAGATAATATCAACAACAAATGTACTAGACTTTTTAAAGCAAATATCCACCATCTTAACAAGTGTGCCCTTCCTGTACTCCCTTTCCAAATGGAAGCCAGAGTTCTGGCAGGAGTAGGCACAGGGGTTGCAGAAATTTCACTATCAATACACTTCTATCACTCCTTATCTCAGAAACTAAATGAGCATATAGAAAAGTTGGCAGACTCCTTGGTCACCCTACAATCGAAGATCAATTCAGTAGCTGTGGGGGGCCTTGCCCCCCCCCTCGCTAGAACTCTTGAGTGCCTTTTACGGGAATGTCTAAGCCTGCTGCAAGTCTACCCGGCAACAAGGAAGTAGCCCCAGTACCCTCCCCTTGCTTCCTCCCTCTAGCCCTACGGTATATATGCTGTAGCAGCTTCCGCAATAAACGAGACTTGATCAGAAACCTGTCTTGTCTCCATCTCTCGTGTCCCCTGTCCTTTGTCATTCTCACTCCCCCTCTAGGGTCTCTGTTGACTTACCCACGGGACGGGACAAGTAGCAGCCATGGTACTTCAAAACAGTTGTGCTCTGGACATAATCACAGCAGAAAGCGGGGGCACCTGTCTCTTGCTGGGAGAACAATGCTGCTACTTTGTAAATCAGTCAGGCATCATAGGCGACAAGGCTAGAGAACTGAGAGAACACATAGAAAAATGTAGATGAGATCTAGAAACCCAACATCCTCTGACATGATATTTTAACCAATGGTTTCCTTGGCACCTTTCTTAGGACCTCTCACTATTATCTGCATGATCTTGCTTTTTGGACCCTTCCTGTTCTGTTGTTTTCAAAATTTCTTGCAGGAACGCATGAGAGCCTTCACAACCCAGACAGTCGGCAAAGCTCGTCATGGCTGGATACCAGCCCCTTGCCACTGATGCAAGCTCTCTAAACCGGGACCTCACCTCGGCCATCTAAAGCCCCCACCCAACAACACCCCTTTGCCAGCAGGAAGCAGCTACAGAAAAAGAGGCCTTCGCCCCTATTCCATAATAACAAGAGTCTAGAATGATAGAGTTCTCTACCAGAAAAAAGGGTCCCAACAGTCCTACATTCTAAAATGGCTCTCATTCCTAAAATGGTTCCCTCTTACGGAAATGAGCCACTTGGGGGTGGGGGTGGGGAGTGAAACCTACCCCCTCTGAAGAAGCAAAACCTAACTTGCTGCTCCACCCTGCTACCCATGCCATGTGATCCTCCCCTTCCAATCCCCTGGCATCCCGTTGCTCATCTCTCACTATACTCTCCCCACTGCACCGCCCTATGTAAATCTCACCCCAGTTAGTCTCACCCTCTCCCGCCATTGTTCAAGGCAGCCCAGCAGCTCCTTCCCCAATAAAGCCTTGCTTGGGAAAGGCAGGAGAATTTATGTCCACCACAGTCATGGTGGTGCACACTTGTATCCCAGCACTCGGGAGGTTGAGGGAAGAGGATTACTGTGAGATCAAGGCCAGCCTGAACTACAATAGTGAGACCTGAGACTTGTCTTAAAAAAAAGTATTTCCACCAGCATTGATTTTAACAAATCCAGATAACAGATGACTGTAGTGGCCTCAATAAGGAAGGTCAGTCCCTGCCCCCTACCCCTATTGGATGAAATAATGGAAATAGTGTTTTTTTGTGGTACTGGGAGTGGAACCCAGGGCCTTCACACTGAATTACACCCTCAGACATTTTTTTTCAAATAAATTTTGTTTTAATCCCATGTCCCCCTTGCCCTTTTTATTTTTTATTTTCAAACAGCATCTTGCTAAGTTGCCCAGGCTGGGCTTGAACCTGCAAGCCTCCTACCTCAGCCTTCTCAGATGTAATAATCCTCTTTTGAACAACACCTTGCCACTCACCAGATGGTATGTTGGGCAAATCATTGGACTTGCCAGGCTTAGGTTTCCTCATCTATAAGAAGGGCCATTCTACCTTTCTTTACAGGACAAAACATGTGAAATGTTGTAGTTAATGTCCAGTGTGAACATGTAACCGGGACAGGGTAATGCAAATACAAAGAGTTAGATGTATTCATTTCCAGCCAGGCATGTAATAAAGCGATCCCCTGGCTAGGTCAGAGCTCCACTGGCCTTAGCTCCTGGAAGATGACGATTGTGTCACCTTTGCACTGTTGACCTCTGCTCCAAGCCCGGCATCCAGCAGGTGCTCAGCAAATGCTTGTTGACCACATGCGTGGCAACAGCCCAGCTGCTGTGGAAGGCTGATTTCATCTCCCCGATACTGCCCCATTTCCGCACCATGTTGGCCTGTTAGCTGCTGTCTTCCTCATCCCCCTGCAGGTCCCTGTGTCCCTGGCCGTCCTCACAGACAGCTGTGTGGTCTCTAAAGGACCTGTCTTTGCACAGTGGCCCTGCCTGGGGATACCTGGGGGGTCTCCTGGGTGAGGACAGCAGCACTTAGGGCAGCTGCAGCCCCCCTGGGCCGCCCACACATAGGCGCCCACGGACATGACCAGCAGCACTGCACACAGCACCACTGTGGTGTGCAGCAGGCGCTCATGGCCCTCCAACCCACCGCCGTCCCTGCCGGTCACAAAGATCACACATGGGCCTCGGCGAGTGTGCTGGGTGCCTGGGCTGAGGCACACTTCGTACTTGGTGCCAGGGAGGAGGTCGTCCACCACATAGGAGTGGATTCCGGGGCCGAGGTGTACCACCTCCTTCCGGCCGGGCTCATCTGAAGCGATGTGGAGCATGACCTCGGGGGTGCGGGTCACCGTGAGCCACTCCAGCAAGACTCCACGCGCTGTGTGCTTGGCCACGCGCAGAACCACGTGGGAGGTGGAAGGAGCCGAGGCCGCGGGCTGGGCCAGGGTTGGGTGGACGTGCAGGGGGATGGCGAGGACCCTGCAGCCCACAGCGTTGGTGGTCACGCAGGTGTAGTTGCCGCTGTCCACCAGGTGCACGGCTGGGATGACCAGCTCGGACAGGGCAGCATCTTCCACAGTGGTCGAGGTCAACACTGGATGGAGAGAAGAGCAAGACAGCTGTGCATTTCTGCAGTGGACAGCAGGGAGCTGCAGTGGTGCAGTAAGTAACCTGTTATTTTTTATTTGGCAGTACTGGGGATTGAACTCACAGTTTTTACACAGACCTACATCTCCAGCCCTTTTTAAAATTTTTTGAGACAAGGTTTCACAAAATCTCTAAGTTGCCCAGGCTGGGCTCTAACTTTCCATCCTCCTGCTTCAGCTTTCCAAAGTGCTGGGATCACAGGCTTCTGCCATCGTGCCTGTCTAGGAACCATTTACTAAGTATGTATGTGGTGCCAGATGTTTCCCCAGAAATCTGTAAAGCAAGGAGCTTTTACTACATACAGGATGTTGAGGATTGGAGAAATCCATGAATTTACCTGTACTGAGAGGTGTTCAGAAGCAGCAACTGATGTGGAAGCCAGGTCTTCTACCTAGGAAGGCCACACTCTTTCCACATCAGCAGCCGCTCCCATCACCAGCTTGGTCTTGCTAAGCCTAACACCATGGCTTCCGTAGATTTCCAGTTGTGTGATTGAGAGGTTCTGTGAGTGTCCAGAAGTGCTTTCTTACCTAGCAGAGGTACAGTGCTTCACAGCCCAGAGCCAGAGTATACAGGCCTGGGCAAGGTGCTTAAATTCTCCTGGCCTCAATTTTCTTGTCAGTAAAACAGAATGGCAGTAGTGCAGGTTTGATAGTAAGTGCTCTGTAGTCATCACTGTTGTTATTTCTGGGAGACTAGATACAACACAGTGTCCAGAGTGATTGTAGAGCACCACAAAAGACAACCTCTGGGTGCATCTCCTGGCTTTCAAAAAGACTACAACAACAAATCCTGTATTTCTCCTCCATTATCATTTAACCTCCAGCCAGCAGGGTGTGATCAAAATGATGGGGAAAGTGAAACATTTGGTGAATCAAAGCTTTTTTCCTACTTGGAGGTTTGTCACCATGTATGATAACTGTGTAGGAGGCTGACTGCATTTTCCAAGATTTACCCTGGCATTTCAAGTTGTCTTCTAGATAGAGGAAGATGTGGGAATCTATAAATATTGTTCCAGCAAAGACCCAAGCTTGAACCCCAGTACCAAAAAAAAAAAAAGAAAAAAAATTTTCCAGCTTCAAGATGCCCCTGTGGAGGCCACGCCTGGCTTTATGATATGCTGAGCCCTACTGGGGGTTCCAGCTGAGCTGTGCAACAGAATACACAGCTCCAGAAAAGGAGAAACACATTAGAATCCCAGATCCTGGGCCCATGGAGATCATTTCCTCTCCCTGATCCCCAATATTATAATTTCAAACAAATCATGCCTGTAATCCAGCAATTTAGGAGGCTGAGACAGGAGGATGGAAAGTTTAAGCCCAGCTTGGTCAACTTAGTGACTTAGTGAGACCTTGTTTCAAAATAAAAAGTAAAAATAAAAAAGAGCTCGGTTTATAGCTCAGTGCAAAGGTCCTAAGTTCAAACTCCAAGACAGCAAAAAAAAAAAAAAAAAAAAAATCAAGCTAAAAGGGACTGATCAACACAGTGGCAATAAGAGAAAATTTAGTCAATATCTAGGACTTTCCAGCCTTGGTGCTAGTAAGGATTAGCTGGAGACAGGAGTTAGGAACTCTTACATATATATATATATTTTTTTTTTTTCTTCAGTCCTTGACTCACAGGAGAGGGGTTTGGAAATTTTATTTCAAACAAGCACCCCGAGTGATTTTGCTAAGGCAAGTTCAGAAAATAAGTAATTCTGATACTCTCTAGAATCAGCTCTAATTGGCATTTCTAAGACTCTAAAATTCACAGTATGGTGTTTTGCATCTAAAATGCTCTCAGATGATATATTTATTGATATGCAATTCTATAACATTTGTATGTTATGTTAAATCAACCCCAACATATATTTAAATGTGAATGTCCTAAGGATATCTATATTCAGCCATTTAAAATAGTTCCACTAGTGGAACCCTATCTTAGAATCTTTTCTGTTTTGGAGACTTAACCTAGGCCTGTCCCAATCTTGCCTGCACCTGCCCTTCATGACTGACACAGCCGAGACCCTCCCTAGTGAGGCAGGATTACTGAAGACCTCTCCATTCCTCCCAGACAGACTGAGAGGCTGCACATGGCTTACCATCAAATTCTCTCCACATGCTCAGGGGATAAGACCATGTAATTGTTGGTGAGGGGCTGGCCTGGGCCAAGCACCTTAGAGTCACATTCTATCTTGCCTGGACGGTGAAGCTGGCACTGGGGGTTGAGATCTTTGGCTTCATGCAAACACTGGGCTCAGTCTCATGAAAAAGCTGCCCTGCCTTGGAGAAAGGGCCCTGGCATATCAGGTAGGAGTTCACCAGGATGACTGGGAGGCTAATAGACTTGACAAACTGGACAAGTCCCCTTAGGCGACAGTCACATTCCCAGGCGTTGTTGTGCAGCGCCAGCACCATGCCGGAGAAAATCTCAGCCCCAAATGCAGGCTGCCGACGTTTCTGGTAGGTCAGCCAGTTCACAAAGACACTGCTGGATACAACAGTCAGCCTATTGGAGGACAGGTCAAGGTAGGTCAGGTTGACCAGAAACTGGAGAGCCTGCTCCGGAAGTACATCGATCCTATTGTGTTTCAGATCCAGTACTCTCAGGACAGGGGTGGCGCGGAACGCTGTCCACGGTACTGACCGGAGTTTGCTCCCCTCCAGTCTCAGCTCTCTCAGTTCCTGTAAGTGGTCCAGGGCTCCTAGATGGATTACAGTAAGGTTGTTAAAGTTGAGCCAAAGGTATTTCACGGTGCTCATGTTGGTGAAAGAGTCTCGGGAGAGTTCAAATAAGGGTGACTTTTCAATTCGCACTTGCTTGAACCCTTCAGAAACGGTGCCTGGTATTTTTTCCAAAGAGGTGGACATGCACAGCAGGGTCCTGTACAGAAAAACAGAAAAGCTTTAAGAGGAACATCAGGGAACTGGAAAATGGTATCCAGTGGATCCTGATGTGATTTAAATAAAAAAAATATTTATTTGAAATGAAAGAGACCAATTCGGATAAAAATGGTCAGTCCACCAAAGTGCAGTACCAATTAAAATGGGTCTCATGGAGATTTTGTCAATTTCCTGCCACTTCTAAGCCTGCTTCTACTCCATATCACCCCCAAACAATTTGCATCCCCTGTAACCCCTGGCATCCTGCCAGCACCGCGAACCTGCCGGAACTCTCCTCTGAGCAGGCACATCCTGGCACACAGAAAGGCTGAGATGCGTATGTATCCAGAAAGGCCAGAGTTAGAAGGAAATGGTGAAAAGATGCAGCCATATTTCTCTGTAAGAAACTACCCTGTGTGTTTTTAATAATTATGGCCCCAGCCTCCAAGTGGCAAATCCTATTATGGGTAATCCATGCTTATGTAGGTCAGCACAGCAGCACCAAAGCCCCTGGATGCCCTGAGGTCTGTTACAGCCTGGATCACAGGTTCAGGTAGAACCTAGGAAGAGGGAGCTATGTGTCTTAACGAAGCCAGAAAATCCACCATTGTCTGGCTCTTGAGTCTGGAGAGCAAACTCTAAGTCAGATATCCAATTCCATGCTGGTTCTACCTTCCCTGACCCTCTTACCAAGGAGCCTGAGAAAAAAGTAGGTAATGCTATTCCAAATACTTAGCCAAGGATTTGACCAGAATCCATCTAATACTTCATCATTCACAATTGGTTCCCAAAACCACAATTTTCAACCACTTACTCCAAGTGAAAGAGGATGACAAGTAATAGTGTAATCCTGTGCTCATTCCTGCTCTTCCCAGGACCCTAGAGGTGTTGTTACTTGTGCTTCACTTCGTGAAGACAATGGCATCTTCAGCTTTGGCGGCCAGACTTAGGGAAACATCAGAGTGCAGCTTCAAACACAAGATGATATTTTCTGATAAAAATCAAAGCTTTGTTGTTATTTTCTTGCCCTATTCCTTGAGAGCTTGTTAGGAGGTTCTAGCAGAGGAGTGTGGCTACTCCTATACCCTGACTGAGGAAATGGTCCTTCTCTATCATGGGTGGTGGTTCTCTTTGACCAAGTGTGCAGCTTCAGGAGGGATGCATATGGAACAGTGAAGGAACAAGGGGACACTTGCCCAGCCAGTCAGATCACCCAATCAGCCCTGGCGATCAGTGAGGTGACAGGTGTCACAGCCAGATCGCCCTCACATCCTCTTGGGTTTTTCCTGAATGCCATGTATTTTGCTTTGTACAAATGAAATACCTACATTCTAAAATGATTTTCATGTGCTTTGTGGTACTTGCTCTCTAAAGTTCACTCACTCAACACATATTCATTGGTCATCTGCTCTAAGCCACACACTTGCTAGATGCAAGGAATTCAGTGGTGACCAAAGCTACCCTGCCCCCTTCAGGCTGCTTTCTTGCTCATGCTTCTGAGTTTGAAGTTTTCTCATTAACCTCTGTGAGTCAGTTTCTTTTCTACAGAGTGAGAATATTAATAAATATCTCAGTGTTCCTAGGAAATATTAAATATTAAATTATATAAAATAAAGCATCTAGCACACAGTAGTTGCCCAATAATTCAGCTCCCATAGCAACAGATTCAGGAAGCACAGAACTGTCTACTTCCCTACTAATAGAGACACTTCCAGATAAAGACTGAAATACCATGGTTTCCCTTAAGACTCATGATATATATTAGACCCTACAAAAGGCCTCAGTGAAAAAAATCCGCTTAGTGACTAACCAATGGGAGGGAAATGGGTCACCAGCTAAGCTGATTACACCCCAGGCTTTCTACTCAACACTAGATATGCTGGAGTTCCCAGTCTCACCCTACAGTCTGGGTGGCTCTCTGGAATTCCTCTGAGGTAAAAATCCAAAACAGAGTGCTATGGGCACAGAGTTTGTGGTGGGCATGAAGATGTGCTGCCTGGGTCTCCTTTAAAAGATGAGTTGATGCCCAGCTGTAGGGGTGCTCGCATGAAGTCGTGCCCTTCCCAAGGCACCCCATACCCAGGGACTGCGGGTGGGCAGGGCTTTAGAGCCTGGCCAGTCTGGTATAATGGGGGCACTCTGATAGTCAATTCTCACTCTTCTACATGTTCCAAGTCTTTACCAGGGTTGTTTCATGGAAATACGTGAGTCTACCTATGGGAATCCAAAACCACTAGTGAAGTCCTTTTTCTCCTCCTACCTCATAATATAAAAGCCTAAAGAATCTTTCTTCCCTACAATTTCTTCTCTGTCCATTCTATGCTAATCTTTTCACATAAATCCAGCTCCACCTCACTTTCCTGACAGTAGCTGAAGGCTTCTATGGAATACCCAACTAGTGTGTCACCTCTGTCCCTTCTTCTCTCCTGACTTCTCTGGTTTTCCTGTTGGTATAGGGGTGTAGGGAGCAGCTATGTTGGGAGTTAAGGCAGGGGACTAAGGACAAATAAAGCTAGCCTGAGTCATGTGATTTACCTAAAGCAACTTGTAGTTATTTGTAGCTCCTAACTTGACACACTGACAACAAAGGGGGTAGGTTTTGTTAGTATTTCAACTCCATCTACCCTCCTACAGGATGCTTTTAGGAATTCAGCTCTCAGAGTTCTTGATAGAGACAGAGTCATGGGAAAGGGCTTACTCTATGCTTATGAAATAGTTAGATATAAATAGCTGCTGGAGGCAGCTCCTTGGCTTGTCTTAAAAGAATCTTAATAAGAGACTACCTTATCTGTTCAGTTGGAAAATGCTTCTTAATCCCCAATATTAGCAAAGCTTTGAGGTAGTCTAGAGAACTGGACAACCTCAGTCTAGAAATTTTCCTTTTTTTTTTTTTAAGCTAGAGCACTTTCCATGTCCTCCACATGCTGCCAACCATGTCTAAGGTGATTCCCTTGGCCACACGTGCTCATGATGTGCTTGTGGTAGACACACAGAAGACCACATTTTCAAGCCTCCCTGAAACACACAGTCAAGGGGTCACACATTCTGGCTGCTGAAATGTTAAAGGAAATGTCCCTACATGGTTCTCCAGTTTCTCTTTTGCCTTGTTGGGGAAACCATTGACATCCATCATCCTGAATCCTTGAGTGAACAAGTGAAGCAGAGACTTCCCTCCATCTACACTTGCCACTCACTGAAATAGACTCAGTAAAAGCAGCAATCAATCATCATGTGTTAAGCATAAGCCTACCCTATCCTGTTTACAATGCCCTTGTAACTAAGTAAAATGTGCTCAAGTGTTGTAATTTGTGTTTGTCTTTACTAACTTTTATGATAGTTAAAGCCAAAATTTCCAGCTCCAGTCTTCTGAACAAACTGTTCGCTGCATTCCTTCATTGAAAGCCCACACCCACTTATCAGAACACAATTCCTGCTATCTGCTTTCATGTACCTTGCACTTAGATGGACAGCTGCAGATAAGTGACACTGGACATGTCTCCTCCCAAGTCAAGAGGAAAGTAATCACACTATCATCAAGAGAAGGTACAAATGAGCATGCTGTGATTCCAACCAAGTCCAAAGTAAGCTTCTGAGGGCCACACATCTTGGGACCAACCATAGTGGAGGCTGGACTGCAGCACCAAGGAACCAGAGATTTCTTTTGCAGGACACCCCAGGATCATTCAGTTCACAGAGACTGACTCATACTAACCAAACATACACTAGAAGAGTAATATATAAACCAGACACAATTTATTTTTACCATGGGAATTTTTAAGTGATTTAAATATTCATGAGCAGAATTCAGAATGATTTTTTTTCTTACAAGAAATACATAAAGTGAAGATTAACAGTTGAGGACAGGGAGGCTGACCATCTTGGAAATTATGATCATCCAGGCCACAAAGGCCCTAATGAATAAAAGTTTGATATCTCTCTCTCTCTCTCTCTCTCTCTCTCCCCTCTGTTTTCAGTTTTCTAATTTTTCTTCAAACAAGACTCAATACAACTAGTTCAATATTAGTTGTCTTTTGATCAATTCTTGTTCAATCTTGATGGACTCCAATAACCATACAAACAACATATTGATCATTTCAACAGGTGACTGTTTTCATCAATTGCACTTATATTTATTCAAATGGGGGGGGGATTATCTGCCACTCTTATATACCAAACAATCAGAAATTAGTCTTGAGTCTCCAAAGCCACAGTAGAAATACCTATATGAGTCTAGATAGAGGCTGGCAAACTACAGCCTGTGTGTCCAGCCCCTGTCACTTGTTTTTATAGACAGCATTTTATTGGAACTGATCAATGTCCATTAGCTGACATTCTGTCTGTGCCTGCTTCTTGCATTCCATCAGCAGGGATGAGTAGCAATGACAGAGACTGAAATATTTACTGTCTGGTTTTCTTTAAAGAAAAAGTTCACAGACCACAGATGGAGACGGTGGTATGCTTTATACCTAGTAAATGTTCAATATGATGTGGAGTCTCTGACATGACAATAGCAAAAAAATTTCCTTGGGTCACTTGCTGTCCTCAAATGTCCTCAGTTGTTACCCAAAGACCTAACACCAGGCACCCTGGGTGCTCCCCGCATAGAGCCCAGCTCTGTAGACCAGGAACAAGCTGAGACTTTTGCTGGAAACATTCACTCTTTCCAGGCACGGAGACACCTCAGTAGTTTCTCAGCTTTATGAAAAACTGAACACGAATCCCTTTCTGAAGGGGCCTGATGAGTGGCCAGGAAGGCTCTGAGACACTGAGTTTCAGTAAGAGTAACAATGAGACAGAGGTGAGCTGGATGCCAGTTGGCATTAGACGTGACAGGGTCCTCTGCTACTAAGTCCCTTGGATCGCTCTGGTCTGACATGCTGGGGACATATAAAAAAGTGGCCAATCGGGTATTACACAACCTCTAGAATTAGTTGAAGATCAAATTATTGTCTCTGGGCAGAACAGCACCCAGAGAACAAATGCCCAGTGAGGGCACAGTGGTAGGCAACTGGAGCATGTGTGCCTGGGAAGGGAAGTGACTTATATACAGAGAGACTACATATGTGAGGGCCCCAGAGTTAGCATCAGTGTCACCCAGAAGCAGTGTAGAGGCAAGAACTGCTGTCAGGGGATTCTGCAGCTGTCACTGCTGGGTGGGCAGTGTAGTAAATCAGAACCTGCTCAGCAAATGTTCCTGCCCACCTCCGGGGCGAAGCATTCTTACTCACTTTGTGCAATTGGGTTTGGCCATGAGGCTTGCTTTGGCAGACAGAATATAGGCAATGTGCTGACTCTGGACTAAGAACTCAAGAGGCATCACATATCAATTTTGCTCCTTTCTCTGATGTCATCAGATCTCACCCTGAGAGAAGCCTGCCCCAGGTGGCCACTGTTACTCTCCAATCTGGCTCCAAATGGGATACCCAGAGCAGAGCCACTTTAATTAACCTAAGATTCATGGGTGTGAAAGTAAGGGTATACCTTACTGAGCTTTTGCTTTTATTTGTTACACAGCAAAACTGACTGATACACACACATTACTTAACCCCCTGTTTCTCCTCCAGGAAAAGGGAGAAAATAGTGGTGCCTTTTCTCACGAGAGTTAAACAAGTTAATTCGGATAAAGTGCTTAGCACACCTCTTGGCCCACAGTAAGCATTTCGTAAGTGTCAGCTGTTGTTGGTGGAGGTGTGAGTACAAGTGTCCAGGGGGGAGTGACTGGGTGGCCCTCAGCAGAAGTACTCATTGATGCGTCTGCCCGCCTTCGAGTCCAGACTGGAGCGCGCAGAGAGGAGCCTGTCGGCCTCTCCACTGAGGCTTTGCCTGGACAGCTCCTCCGAGCAGTCCTCACTGTGAGCCAGCCTCTCCAGGTGCACGTAGGCGTCCGTTGCCTCGCCAGAGCCTCTCGTGAGACACTTGCGACAGCGCCTGCGGAGCGCCCCGCAGCACACAGACAGCGTGGGCGGCAGGGCGATGGTGGCCGCCACGCTGATCACCACTATGTTGATGAGCCTCTGGGTGCCCTGGGCATCCGCTATCTGGTCAGTGGAGAAGATGACGCACTGCTCCTTGCGCGGCACCTGGCCCCGCGTGCACACGCACGCGACGTACTTGGTCTTGGGCGCCAGCCCCTCGATGGTGACGGTGGTCATGCCCGGCTGCACTGTCACCCGCCGCATGTCTCGCTGCCCGAAGACAGTGTAGAGGACGTTGAAGGCCGTTGTGTTCCCAGCCTGGGGGGCCTTCCACACCAGGGACACACTGTTGTAGGTGTCCCCCACCACCTTGAGCGACCTCACCATGCGCGCCTCCTTCCCCTCCGACAGCGCCCCCAGCTCGCCCATCTGGAAGTACTGGAGGGCCAGCTCCTCCTTCACGCTGGGCACAGAGGGCCTGGCAGCCAGCACGGCAGGCTCAGGCACATGGGGCACGTGCCTGGCCACCAGCTTGTTGTTGTAAACAGCAGCCTCTGCCCTGTCGCCTGTCCTTGTCCACCGCGCCCCTGAGCTCCTACTGTCTTCTGTAGGAGTCTGGGGCTCAGTGACAATCAGGGAGATGATAGTCTCTGAGGCCCCCAGGAAGTTCTTGGCCTGGCAGACGTAGTCTCCGGAATCAAAATGAGACACGGTGGGCAGGTCCAGGAGAGTCCAGCTTGAGCCATCACTGGAGATTTCCTGGTGCACTGGGAGAAGAGGCAGATGTGGGAGAATGAACGCGCCCACCTGCCCCTCGTTCCATTCCAGCGCCAAGTTCACAGCCCCTGGGCTGCCCACATAGTATCAGATAACCTGTGATCCCCAGAAACACTGACAGGCGATCGATCAGCTTTCAACTCATTCAGGGCCCGGGTCCTGGCCTTCATAGCTTATAACCTTGGCTTACACCAGCCAAGAGGACCTGGAGTCCAATTTGGGGGAGCCCTAGAGCTCCAGGCTGAGGCAGAGCCTAAGAGTAAACTGCCTTCTAAAAAGGGTGATCAAAAAATACGGTGCATGTCTATATTTTAAAAAATCTTGGGCCAGGGATTTAGCTTAGTAGTGCTGCCACCTGCCTTATGAACACAGAGTCCTGAGTTCAATCCCCGGTACCAAAAGAAAAAAAAAAATCTTATTACACTAAAAAGCACATTAAGAACAATGGGATGTGTGTGTTTGAAGGGAAGGGGGTTATTCTGAGTATTCTGAGGGGGATTAATGGCAATGTGTCTTTTACTGTGAGTTTTTTAAAATTTAGATGTTCATAGCGCTTTTTTATCAAAGCCCCTTCATCTGAGATGTTCCAAGTGTGCTCTTCAGGGGCCTGGGGTTTTGCAGAAGTGACCCCTGGGGTGGCATCAAGTCAGGGGTGAACCTGAATGAGAGGCCCAGCCTGAGGGGCCCCTGCTCACCCTGATGGCCGCTTCGATCGGAGCAGCTTCACCTTCCTGTTTGACACAGTGCAGCTTTTTGTACCATGTTGTGTATAACTTGATTCCAAACCCACTGTTCAGAGCAACCATTGCCAGCCTAGTGGAGGGGAGTCAGTGCTAACAAACAGCTTTTCCTCAGCCCTCTACCTGTGGCTGGCTGTGACTCCCACCCAGAGATGCCACCATGACAGACATCAGCTATCTCTGCCCACACAATCTCACTGAAATAGTACCCGCCTTGGAGTCAGCTAGACTGTGTTGGAATCTTCTTATCTGAGCTGTGCGGTGTGGCCCACGCATTCAGCCTCTCAGAGCCTCCATTCCATTGTGTGAAAAAATAAGGATAATCTGGTTGCTTGATGGCATGGTGGGTACAATTCACTTAACACAGTGATGATAGACCCACTCAAAGAACTCAATCCATGGTGACCCATATCCCTAATTACTTCTGGTGACACTGGCTTAATATTTACAACTGGGAAATTTACTGTAAGCATGCAGTACACTGACAGAGTGTCTTCTACCAACAAGTCAGCTTTTTCTTCCTCCCACAGTGACCTGAGTCTCCAATACAGAGGCTAGTGGGATGTGACGGGACAGGTGAAGAGCCCTCCACATCATTTAATACACTGTCTCCTTGCTCACCCTCTGGGCAGATCCTCTCCAACTCCATTCAGGCAGATGGGAATCCTTCCTTCTGGCCCTGCCCACTTCCCACTTGAGATCCCCATCCATCTACCTCAATCCTGGGCTTACTGAGAAGGCCCTGTAGCTCACCCACCTGTGCCATTGAGTGGGCGCCCACTGGCTCTTCTCCAGCTCATCTCGGGCCCAGGGACCCCAGTGGCTCCACAGTGTAGCAATACAGAGCTACCCAAAGGGGACCTGATGCTGGTCGCCCCTGGACGGAGCTGGGGACCTTGGCACTTCCTCAGCTCCAGCTGGCTGAAGGCCACTCCGGCCAGGTTACGTGGGCTGGCACACCTCAGTCTGGTCTCAATGAAGACCAAGTTTGGGGCCCAGCCATCCAGGAGATGGACCAGCTCATAGAGCCGGCAGTCACATGCCCAGGGGTTGTCCTGAAGCCCTGTAAGAGACAGAAGGCAAGAAGTGATCCCAAGCCTGGCTCTCCATCCTCTTGGGGATAATGGGGGAGGCTTTCAGTCCAGAGTCAGCAGAACTGGCCTCCAGGCCCAGCTGCTTACCTTGCCAACTGCAGGATATTAAACTTCACCCCTCACCCTAAATAGTAGCATTACTTCCCTTTAGAGTTGCTGTAATCATAAAGATTCATCACGGAGCATTGGGAAGGCCATACAGAATGCCAACAAAATTGACTATTATGTCTCACATTCTTAAACTAATCCTTTCAAGCCACTGGCCAGGAAGAATTTTTCCAATAACTTCAATATGTCAGAACATTTTCTAAAAATGCTTTGCTGACCCTGACCCTTGAACCCTGTCCTCCCGGGGTAAGTGTCACTTTCCATATCACATCACCATGGGAATGACAGTGTGACTCTGATAAATGGTCTTCTTTTTACCGAGGCTCAAATAAGGTAAAAAGTGGGGTGGAAAGGCTGGAACATCAGACTCTTTGATGTATTCCCAGTCCTTTTTACACCAATGTTGAACATTTTTAAAGAACTGGAAGTGGGTCATTCTACATTCCCTGACCGCCTCCCCCAAAAAACTTATACAGATAAGGGGGCACTGTGTCCTCAATTCTGAAGCATAATCCCCTTCTAAATGTTTAAACTTCTGAAACGTAAGACAAAAGCATTTGATATGATGTTATGTTATTCCTCAAAGTTTGCTATTAAATTTGATAGTCTTAATAATCCATGATATCTTACACATATTTGACATATTTGGAAACAGAAATGGAAGAGGGTTGGGAGGGTATGTTCAGATCTGACTGCTCATCTCTCAGGTCCTTCTGAGGATGTGAATGAGGATGGACATGAATGAGGACAATAAATGAGGGGGGTGGCAGCTGCTTCTCCCACCTCTCCCTCACCCTCTCCCATGAGTAAATGCCTCTCTGTGTTACTGGTCAAATGCATTTCACAAAACATCTGCAACTCAAGGGTCACCAGAGCCCTGGTTTCATGGTCAGCTACTTGGCTTTTGCCTGTTACAGAAAGGTTGCAAAAGGATCAATGAAAAGGCAAAGTTAACCACCTGAAAAACTTTCACTTGTCATATTAGCACAAATTAAATTTCTTGGCCATTTTAATTTTTAGCTCCCTGAAAGAATAGATTTTTGTCTATTGGGTTCATTTCCATATCCCCAGCTCCTCAAATTGGAAGGCATTCAAAATACTTACGGGGTGACTGTACAGGTGGGCTCACAGAATGTTCTCTGTGGCATCAAAGGTGTTAATAAAACAATGGAAATAATCTAAAGGCCACCAAAGGAGGAATGGCTAAAAAACTATAATAGAACTATGTTATGGAATATTGTGTAACAGTTTTAAAAAGTTGAACTTGTTCTATTTGTAGTAATTTAGAAGATCTCCAAGATATATGATTGGATGAGAATGTTAGCGTTGATTAATTTTATATAATAAAATATTTTGTAAAACACATATATAACTTTTATTCATGCATAGGTTTATATATGTATTGGGTACATCCCTGTATGTATGTATGTATGTATTTGTATGCCTAAATATTGTGAAAGATAGGGAATTTAGGGCTGGGGATTTAGCTCAGTGGTTCCGCCGCCTGCCTTACAACCACAAGGTCCCAAGTTCAATCCCCGGTACCAAAAAAAAAAAAAAAGATAGGGAATTTACAAATAAATGTGGTAAGAGTTGCTATCTTTTGGGAGAAGGAGAAGGGATTAGAATAGGAAGAGGAGACACACAGGTCATTTGCCTTTTCTGTTAGGCCTTAAATGTTTACACATATTCATCTAGGAGTTAGATAATTCAAGTCGACTTCCCAGTTCTGCTGGGCCGGTCATCCTCAGGACCGGGCAGGGCCTTGGACAGGAAAAGAGACCTGGCCCACCCAGTTAGCCTTTGGTGTGCTAGAATCGAGAAGGACCAGGAGACACAGAGGGATCAGCTGGCGTTCAGTGCCAATCCACTGAACCATGAGATGGGAATCTGAGTCTCAGGAAGGTGCATGCTGGTTGTAAGGCCTGGACAGAAACCTCTTGCCTCTCAGTTTCCTTAAACCCTGGAATGTGAACCAGGCACAGTCTGGCATGGAGCCTGAGCCCCTAAGCCCATGCCTTGCAGATCTCCCACCATCTGTACTCAAACGGGGAGGCAAGTATGGTTTCCACTTTCCTTGGGCACCTGCCCAAGACCCTAGGGCTCACCAGGGTGAGGCATCTCTTACCTAGGACCAGCCTGGCGTGGAGGCTAGGCAGGAAAGGTCTGGTCTTCAGGTGCGCCCAGGTGAGCAGCAGCTCCTGCGGAAGCCTCATCAGCTGGTTGCTGGAGAGGTCCAGGAAGGTGAGATTGCCCAGGAAGCGCGCAGCCTCAGGAGGCACGGCAGCCAGGCGGTTGGCCTGCAGGTCCAGCAGCCGCAACTCGGGGGCGTCCCTGAGCGCAGCCCAGGGGAAGGCTATCAGGCGGTTCCCCGGCAGCCGCAGCTCGCGCAGGCGCCGCAGGCCTCGCAGCATGAGCGCGCTGAGCTCTCCCAGCGCGTTGTAGGGCAGCCAGAGCTGCTCCAGGCGGCCCAGCGACCGGAAGGCCTCGGCTGTCACCCTGCGCATGGCTGTGCGCTCCAGGCGCAGCCTGCACGTGTCCGTGGGGAGGGAGGCAGGCGGCAGGGTCATGTCGGAGTAGCTGCACACCACCGTCCTGAATGGACACAGAAATACGCTGGGCCTCTGAACCAGGGTGCTGCAAGCTGGGGATCCCCCACCTCCTCCCTTATGCGCCCTGCAGATTGGCCTCACACAAAACCCCAATATCAACAGCCAGGCCGCGGTGGAGACGGAGAGGGGACTTGGGCCCTCCCGATTCCCCGTGGGGAGTCTTGTTTTCAGAGCATATCCTTTCAGTAGGGACCCAGGAGGGGCACTTGGGTCCTCGCTGGCCTGAAAGACCTGGAAGCTAAGCCATGCCCAGTTGCAGCCTGTGTGCCCCCAGCCCTAAGAACACAGTTTCACTGCATTCATGTGTGCAGCACGTTCATTTGTTAAAACATACCTCAATTTGTGTAACTGTTTTGGCTTTTCTTCATTTCTCATAGTTTCTTTTTTTATTAGTGTTTGTGATATAGAATAATTACATTCATTTTGGCATCTATATCTTCCCCTTCCTTGCTTGAGTTTTAAAAATATATATCAAGGGCATAAAAAGTCAGCACACCTGCAGGTCTCTCCAGACCTCAGGAGCCATGAAAGGGTCACACTACCCAAGAGCTGGGATGTGGTCACACCACAGCTGGGGTCACATCTGGGCTCTTCGCCCGTTTGCTGGGTATCCTGACGTCTCTCAGGTAACCTCTCTTCTCCTGAGTTTCCCTGTGATAACAGAGTTCACCTCATGGGGCATTTGGGGGTTAAGTGAGGTCACGTGCAGGCTCAGCGCTGCCTGGGAGCCTGTACCTGCCCAGTGTTTCAGATCACTGCATTCCTGCTAGATCAGGGCTGTTTCATCGGCTCCTTCCAACTCCCCTTCTGCCCAGTGGCTTCACACACCTGGATCTTTTATGTCTGAGTCTAAGGCTGAGGACAGAGAGCTGCCAGGAACCAGTCCTGTCCCCAAGGAGCCTACAATCCAGGGTGGTGTTTTATACCATCAGTGAGAGTAGCACACTTACATGGGATAAGATGGAAAGGAACCGTCCTCCAAAAACAGAAATTGTGGAGGTTGCCATCAGGGACCTGGACCTTGTGCAAGGCCAGTTTCATTTGCAAGGCTTCTCTGCCCACTCGGGGTGGGCCTCATGTGTGCTTTGCTGAAAGAGGTTATTCTCTTGTGATGTCCCCTGTACTGTCGAGTCAGGGCACCCTGACAGTAAGCCTTCTGTCAGCTGAATACACAACACACACACACACACACACACACACACACTGCTCAAAGGTGCTGCTGGCTGGGTTCGTTTCTCCTTGTTCATGGGGCCTCAAAAGATGTTCCTCAGATAAAGAATAGACTTCTACTAAGTGATGGGCCATTCAGAAAAGAGTTGAAGTCTCAGTCCCAGTCCTTTTCTTTTCTTTTTTGGTACTGAGAATCAAATTCAGGTCTTCATGCTTGCCAGACAGGTGCTGTGCAACTGAGCTACATCCCTACCCCAATGAGTCTTTTTTTTTTTTTTTTGGAACCAAGGATTGAACTCAAGATCTTGCGCCTGCAAGGCAGGGACAATACCACTGAGCTAAATCCCCGGCCCTTCAGCCCCAGTCCTTGATAGCTTGTAATCTACCTCAGGAAGAAAGAACATGGAGGGGGCAATCATTTCAGGTGTTGAGACGCACAGGTTGGGGTGCCAGCAATTGGGAGGTCTGGGCATGGGTGGAGGAAGGAGGTATATGGGAAAACATGTTGTGGACTATGGAGAAAGTGGTCAAAGCAGAAAGAACCCAACCTAAGCCAACAGCTCAGCTCCTGGTGGGGAAAACAGCACAAAATGCCTTGGGGCCACATCTGTCCTGGTCCCAAGCCTGGGCCCTCTCAGCAACCCCAGTGTCCACAGGGACAGACTCTCTGGATGAGGGCAGATGGGGCTCTGGGAATAGCATGGGCTAGAGCTGAGTGTGAGGAAGGGTCTGACATGCAGAAGGAAGTCAGCCTAAGCCCACAGTCTGTGCCCATGGCCCTTGGGGACAGCCAGGCCCTGGCAGCCTGCCCTGGCCTCATTCCCCTCGTGTAGCTCTCCATGAGCATGGGCTGGTGCACATCAACCTGGGACTGTCAGGGAGGTAGGATGCTCTGTGAGAGCTCTGGCCTCAGAGGAGGGGGTGGCCACTGGCTGACATTCGGGTCCTTAAGACCACCGTTGGAGTTTCCATTTCACCTGAAAGATAACTCTGCTCCCTGCAGCCTCAGATGGGAAGAGTTCTAGGAAACAGTCAGAATTCCTTAATTCTTGGACTTCTTCCATCACTGATCCTGTGCTGCTCTGTGACTTTGAGGCCAGAGCTCTCTGTGGGTGGTGACAAGAGCCCTTTGTCACACTGACCACACCATCCTTGGTCGCGAGCTATTACCTAGTCAGTTGAAGGCTCAGCCTGGATACCTCTGCTGAGAGGAGCCTTACCCTGCATGTGAGTTAGATAGAGCATCAGCTCTGCCTGCCCCAGACCACACCAGCTCCCTATTCTCCACCTCCCCTCCCCACCAACCAACCCAACATCCATTGCCAGGATCACTGAACAGGTAGCTCTGGTAACATTATTTCCCTGATCCAAAACCATCAGTGGCTCCCCATTACCCATCTAGACAGGAAGAAACGTTGTGAAAATGATCGGAATTAGACCCAGAGCCAGAGACAGAATGGGAAACACAGAGATTATTAGCTGAGGAAGTTGGAGGAAAAGTGGTTTAAAGGTAGCTGAAGAGAGGAAGAAAATGAGACTTAGCAGAAAAGCAGATGTTTATGGAGCACAATGGCCTGGGGAAGGCCCTAAGGAAGAGGGAAAGGAGAGGTTGGGGGCTTTACAGAGAGAGAGGGAGGATGCAGAACAGCAAGGATGAGGCTGAGGGTGGAGGGAGCAGAGCTGCCATGGAATGGGGGCTCCTGGCCTTCCCGACTGCCCGGGGAGGAGTCAGGGCAGGTGTTCCTGGGGGCTGCAAAGGAAACCCACGAGGAGGACCAAGAAGAGGCAGGTGGTCCTGTCGTGGGTGGGGTGGCAGGCAGCACCTGGCTGTGGTCGGGCAGCTGTGGAGGCCAGCTGTGAGAATGGAAGAGGTGTGGGATGGAAGGAAGTGGGGAGACACAGGGAGGAAGATGAAATGGGAGGAAGCAGGGGGAGGAAAGGCAAGAGGTAAGGAGGAAACTCCCCAGACTGAAAGAGCGCTCCTCTCCACCAGGAGCCCGAGGAGGGTGCAGGAAGAACTTCCTGGAACTGGCACACTTGTGCCCCCCCAATGTGTAAAGGACCCAGAACCTCCTGGCCAGAGCAGTCTCTCCCTGGTTTCAAGGGCCAAGGAGACAGCGCTCTCACCCAGCCACAGAATAAGGAGCCTGCTTACCCAAGGGCCCTGGGGGAGCAGCTGCTGAGCTCCCTACCCATCCCAAGCCAGCCTAGCTGGAAGAGTAGGGGGCTGGGCTCCCATCCCACCACACTCAGGGAGAGGGGCCTTACCTGGCCTTGCTGCCGTCACTCAGGATGTGGAGGCTGCAGCTGCACTGAGAGGGGCAGGAGCACCAGGCCTGGTGGGGCCCCCCAAGGGCCAGGACCCAGAGCAGGCCCACGGCCGCCCACATGACTCCTGGCTCCTCTCTGGCCTGGCAGGGGCCTGTCCCCAGACCGCTCCGTGCCAGCCCAGCAAACCCAGCAGCTGCCCACTCACTTGCCACCCCCCCCCCCCGCCACCGGGCCATCAGATAAACAGGGGACAGGCTGAGGATTAGGGAGGGGAGCTCCAGCCACAGCTCTCAGCAGCTTAGCGCTGCTTCCTGGATGGCCTGGGCTGAGGGTAGGTGGAGACCCCTCCAGGCCTCCCTGGGGTTAGGGGGAGTTGGAGACAGAACTCTGGCCTCAAGAGCCTGGGGAATTTCTTCCCTTGCAAGTACTAAACGCTCAGTTTGTGAGTTCTCACAAGGGCCTGCTCAGGGGTGGGGGGAAGCCTCACTGTTTCAGGGGAGTCCTCAGAGATGCCTCCCACAGGTTCCTGAACTACAGCTGTCCCCTGGGCAAGCCGCCACCTCCCTGGAATGGCTCAAGGACACCCGGTCCCCAGACACTGCGTCTCAGGGAGGCCCTTCCAGGCAAGGGGTGTCTTCCATGGAGCAGCTATTTCCCCTCCATCCAGGGCTCCTGCTCTGAGGAGGGCCCAGCACTGGATCTCTGATGCCTGGGGAAGGGACTTCTGGTTTTCACCTGTTCTCCCTCCCCCAACCACATCTGACCAAACCTGCTCAAGATGCCAATGGCGAGCAAACCGGCTACAAGTCCAAGCAGCAGACACTCAGCTGACTCAGCCATTTCTTCTCCACATTTCACCCCAAGGCTTTGGGGTCTGCTCCGCGGTGCCCTGCCTGGGTCTGTCAGCTTTTCAGAAGGGTCCTGGTCCCTCGTGCCCATGGGCCCAGACAGCAAAGACCCCGGGACACACATAATACCTTGCTCATGCCACGCTATTGTGATGGGAGACATTGGTTCCCATCCCTTCTTTTCCAAATCCAGCCAGTAAGATGTCCTCAGTGCTCACACTGTGTCTGTAGCCCTCCTCAAGACCAGCCCTGCCCATTGTCATATCGATCCCCCTTTTGTTTTTCTGGCACTACAGAACTAACACAGGCCTTTGCATTGAGCTACATTCCCAGCCCCTTTTCTACTTTAAGACAGTGTCTCACTGAGCATCTTAGTTGACTCAGAACTGTAATCCTCCTGCCTCAGCCTCCCAGAGTGCTGGAATTACAGGTGTGCACCACCTGGTTCATGTCACACTGCCTTTTATTCCCTCTACCTAGGATGCTTTCCCTCTGGCTTCTACCTAGCTGAATGCTACCCTCATTCCAGCCTTGTCCTTCTTTCTTTTCTTTTTCTCTTTTGTAATCGTGTAGGCATGGAAACAGATGGATGTGGGTATCAGCCAGCAAGACAGAAAGCGGAAGGGGCTGGGAGGTGGCAACCATAAGCGGGGCCTGAGAGCTGATGAGGCTTAGAAGTACATGGTGACTCACAAGAGTAAAAGCTTGGGCTGGGCCATTCATTCTCAGACAAAATGAGTTGTGTGGCCAGGCCACAGCACCAAGCCTGGAGGTGAGAGAGGTGGCTTCCATTCCAGCTCAGTCCCTAGGACATGGGGGACCTTGGGCTGATTCTCAACTGCCTTCTGCTTTATTTTCCTCCTCTAAGTTGGACAGTATAATGGCATCAATTCATGGAGTTGTTCTAGGAATCACAGCAGACCCCTTAGCACAAGGCCTGACCGCAGTCAACATTAGCTGATTGGTAGTAGCCGTGAGAGCTCTGTTTCTTGATCTGATTTATGTGAAGGTGCACTAGACCACAGTTCCTTGGTGTAGATTTCAAGGGAGCCAGTGCAGATCTTGTACAAGACCTCATATGCAGAGGGCAAAACTCAGTGGGCCAGGGGTTGTGGGGTGACTTACAGACAGAAAGCAGCCCATCCTTCCAAGCCAGTGTCCTGTCTAGGAGGTTGTTGGTTGGTTGGTTTTATACTGGGAATTGAACCCACAGCCTTTACTTCGAGATACATCCCCAGCCTTTTTTATTTTTTTCTTTTGAGACACAATCTCCCTAAGCAATAATTCAGTGTTTGTCAAGCTGGGCTCCAACTTACAATCCTCCTGCCTCAGCCTCCCAGAGATGACAGGTGTGTGTCATCTCACCAGCTTTCTTTCCTCAAAGGCTCTATAGGAGACAGGAAGTGCAGGTGATTTCCCAAAGCTCATCCTTTTTCCAGCCTTCCCCAGTCACACACACACACGCGTGCACACACACCATGCCCAGCTTGCTAGCAGCTGTGGACCTAGAAGGGCCTGGCTCCCATTCAGGGGCAGCTGCAGCTCACAGCTCTCCTCCCACTGTCCTCTGTGGTTATGCAACACTTCAATCCAGTGCTCAGCCGCATACCATTTGCATCCCCAGACCTTAATCCCAGCCCGCGAGGCTGAAATGAATGAGCCAGGGCTCTGCTCTGGCTTCACAAAGACTGCACTGTGTAACAGTGAATGGGTCCCTTCCGCGTGGGCCGAGAGGGCGATTTGGGGGGACAGGGGACAGGAATCCAGGGGTCTGGCATAATAACCTGCATGTGCCTGCTCGTGTCACTGCCCTTTTAAACCGCAGGTCTGGGTCCAGGAGCCCGCAGAGAGCTGGGGAGCCGGCAGGGAGGGGATGAGGATGGCGGCCTCTGGGGCCCTGCCCACCGGCTTTGGGGAGCTCGAGGTGCTGGCTGTGGGGACAATGCTGCTGGTGGAAGGTGAGCCAGGCTGGAACTGGGCTGGGACAGGGTCGCTCTGGGTCCTCAGAACCCAGCTGCAGCTGAGGCACTGGCAGCTTCATAATGTGCTGCCCTGGTTGCTGGCTCCTGTGGGCCTGGACCCGGGGGGCTGTCTCGTGGCTGCCCTCGTGGGGTGCAGCATGCTGGTGCGGAGCCCAGAGAAAGAAGCCAGGCAGGAGTCTGTGAGGGAGAGACTCAGAAAGGGTAGGAGAGGTGACCAAAACTCAGGCTGGGGGGGAAGGAAGCTTGGACCCATTCCCTGAACACACTGCTGCGGAACCCCACAAGATCAGGTCCCCAGCCGTGAGCTGCTAGAGAACAGGGCAGGAACTGCAGGGCTTCAGCCCCAATGCCAGCCCCAGCCTTGCCTTCCAGCGCTCTGTGGTCTCAGCCTCAACGGCCTGACCATCGTCTCTTTCTGCAAGATCCCGGAGCTGTGGACTCCCAGACACCTCCTCGTGCTGAGCCTGGCCCTGGCAGACAGCGGGCTCAGCCTCAACACCCTCATCGCGGCTGTGTCCAGCCTCCTTCGGTACCAGGCCCTCCCCATGCCCAGGCTCTGGGCCCTGCCTGGGGCCTGACCTCCGGACCCTGGGCAACCAGGCCTGAGTCTTACTTCCAACAGGCAGAAAACAGGCCCAAGGGCAGAAGCAGGCCGGCTGGCCTGGGCTGAGCTGGAAGTACAGGTTATCCCTGAGGAATCTGTGTGACACCAGGGTTGCTCAAACCTGGCCAGAGAGATAGGCGGGGGCCATGGATGAAGAGCAAGAGCACAGTAACCAGGTGGCCTAGCATTGACCCTGGGCTGCTTTCGTGAATTGTGGAGTATTGCTTAGTTCATGTGGGTGGCTGGAAGTAGCAACTTTATTTGCAAATGACTTAAAACAATGCTTGCCACCTAGGAAGCCCTCAGTGAGCTTTTGACCGTTGTCTAATGCTCCTTATGCGAACCCAGTGTCTTCCCATGTCACTTTGGAAGGTGTTCCCAAGACTCATGTTTGTTTTGTTTTTGTTTGCGGTACTGGTGATGGGACCCAGGGCCTTTCCACCAAGCTATAGCTCCAGCCTCTTTTTATTTTTTATTTGACCCATAATCTTTTTTTTTTTTCCCCCGGTACTAGGGATTGAACTTAGGACCTTGCACCTGGGAGCCAGGCGCAGCACCACCAAGCTAAATCCCTGGCCCCTTATTGTTTATTTGAGACAAGACCTCATTAAGTCACTAAGTTGTCCAGGCTGGGCTTGAACTCCTGATCCTCCTGCCTCAGGCTCACATAGTGCTGAAAAGACAGGCATGCTAAGAATATTTTCTTAAGGAAACTGCACGTTTTCCTTCCGCAGTGAGGCACTCAGAATGAGGCTGAGGCCATTTGGTGTGAATGCTCAGCCCGACCATTCTGTGGGGTCTAAAGGCAATGAGAAGTCCCCCTCCTAAAATGGAGTGGGAGTCTAGGTTCTATTTGACCTCATGTGCTATGCGACTGTGACTCAGTACCAGTTCCTCTCTGAGCCGATTTTCCCACCTAGAAGATAAAGGTGTGTACCCAGGAGCAGTGAGACATACCTGTAATCCCATCACTCTGGAGGCTGAGAAAGGAGGATCTCAAATTGGTATCCAGCCTGGGCAACGTGCCACTTAGGGAGACCCTGTCTCAAAATTAAAAAAAAAAAAAAAATTAAACAGCTAGGAATGTAGCTTGGTGGGAAGTCCCTGGGTTCCATCCCCAGTACCACAAAACAGAAGATTTTAAATAAAACTCAATGCAGGCATGAGCTCTCCTGATGATGCAGAGAGAACCCTTGGTCCAGTCATGAGGCAATGAAAATCACCAGGCTCAAGGGTCTGCACGAGCTCCCCTTCCTGCTTGGTGACTTAGCTCTGTGGCCTCACCCAGTTTTCATGGAAAAACAGAGCTAAGGGCCCTTGGAGCATGGGGCGACACGCAGGAAGCTTCCAAGCTGCTGGGGCAGAGGTCTGCGGGAGGCCTGGTTACTGTGCCTGGTGTCTCCGCAGGCGCTGGCCCTACGGCTCCGGAGGCTGCCAGACTCACGGCTTCCAGGGCTTTGTGACAGCGCTGGCCAGCATCAGCGGCAGCGCAGCCATCGCTTGGGGACACCACCAGCACTACTGCACGCGTAGGTGTCCTGGCCCGGGGCAGAGGGGCGCAGTGCAGGGGGGGAGGGGGCAGCGCCAGGGCGCGGCCAGTGTCTCCCGGCACAGCCAGGCGTGGGCGGCAGGGAGCTGGCATGCATGTGCCATCCAACTGGGGAAAGGAGGGTGGAGGGCGGTGGCAGCCCTGAGCCTTTCTCTTCTCTGCAAAAATTTTAATAACCAACTTCACAATTTTATTTTGAAAATCAAATGAGATCGTGGATGCAGAAAATGCTCTTGCAGATGGGCACCGTGGGGGCAGAGGGAGATGGAGTGTGCATGCATGTGTGTGCATGACAGGCGTGGAACCCCACACTTCCACAGGCCCTCAGGATGGCAGGGGTGCATGCAGACGCGTCCCAGTGCAGATGTCCCAGGTGGCATTGTCAGATGTCATCGGCATTGTAATTGACTAAAGCAGTGTGCCATTTGTTCCGTTCTTCCTTGATGTTTTGTCTAATAAGTGACTCACTTTAAATTTTTTTAAAACCTACTATAGTTTCCACACTTGTATTGTTCTATAATTTTAATACCCACTAAAATTTTTTAAATGCTTTTACCAGGTGTTAGGGTGCACACTTGTAATCCCAGCACTTTGTGAGGCTGAGGCAGGAGGATCACAAGCTTGACCCATCCTGGGCAACTTAGCCACTTAGCAAGACCCTGTCTCAAAATTTAAAAAAATTAAAGAGACATACGCCAGTGCAAAGGTCCTGGGTTCAGTCCCCAGTACCACAAAACAAAAACACACATCACTGCCTCAAGAGGTGTATAAACATGCTCTGTGCCCCAGTGGACCCTCACAGTGTCCCTCTGGCTTGAGCCTAAGAAACAGAGGCAGAGAGGAGGTGAGCAGCTTGTCCATCTCACACAGTGAGTAGGGGCCAAGCCAGGACTGAGTGTGGCCCGACACTTCCAGAGGTGGCTGCTGCCCAGCAGCAAGGTCACCAGCCTGTGAGTCTCCCCCGGCACTCACTGGCCCTCTCCAGCCCCAGGCTGCCTCTGTTCTTATGGTTTTGATAATCAACAGATTCTCCTCTCTTGCCACATGGCCTCAGTACACCTCTCCCACCATGTCTACCCTTGGAGCATCACACTCACTTGTGCACACACATGCATCACACACATGCCTACACCCATGCGTGCACACACATGCATCACATGCACATGTACACACTCATGCATGCACCAGCTTCTTAGATGGCCACAGGCTTCTCCAGCTCCAGGAAGAAAAGGTAAGCTCACTCCAGAGCCTCAGACCAAAGCCCTTCCTGCACTGGACAGGACAGCAGAGCAGGGTGACGGCTGGGGACAGAGCTCACCCACTCCGTGACTGCTGGTCCTGGGCATACAGCCCCGGTTCTCTGTTTCCGGTGCTGGAAAGACTGCACATGGGTCAAGGAGTCCACTGTGCCCAGAGTTGAGGTGTGAGGGCATCCTAATCGGCCTGAACTACAACAACGAAACATCGAAGTGTGGGTGGCTTAAAAAAACCCAAGCTTTTCCTTCCACTTCTGGTAGCTGGGAAAACAAGATCAGCCTTCCAGCATGGTCAGGTTCTGGGTCTACAGAAGGTCACCTTCCTGCTGGATCCTCCCTGGAGGAGTGAGACATCTCTCTCATGTTCCTTCTTATAAGAACACTAATCTCACCATGGAGCTGCCACCATTGTAACTAGGTCCCTCTCAAAGGCCCCGCCTTGAAATGCCACCACATTGGGCATTAGGGCTTCAGCGTGTGGACTCTGAGGGGACACAGACATTCATAACACACCAGGGGACACAACCAAGCACACTCCATACACAGCGGGGTCTGCAGGAGCAGAGGCCTGGACGAGGGAAGCTGCAGACTGGCTCTTCTGTGGAACTGTGGAGTTCTGTCCTCTACCTGCCCCAGGCTCTCTCTGCACAGAGCTCAACAGATAAACCACAGGCACAGGGCTGGGGTGTGGGCACAATCTGGAAAAGCCCTTGCAAAGGCAGGTCCAGGGGAAGGTCCTGGTGAGGGAAGGCTGAAAGGGGCTGCAGGAGAGAAGGGGCCTGAGAGGGGGGCAGCTGGACATCCAGGTCACACCCAAGGTGCTGCCTCTGCCCGTGGCAGTGAGATGGATCCAGTCCCTGATTTGAGTTCTCAGGGTGTCCAAGGAGCAAGAGCTGAGGATGCAGTGAGCCTGGTCCTGCACCTCCCTCCTCCATTACCCCCGCTTCAGTTGCTCCTTCTCTCTGTTCTATGAAGAAAATGCTACAGGCTGTCTGCTGGAAGATTTTCACCATCCATTAGCTCTTTTGTTCTTCATAGCATCCTCTGCAGCAGGGATATTATTCCCCTTGTGGGGGAAACCGAGGCTCAGGGAAACCCTTAACTTGCCTGGGGCACCAAGAATCAGAGCTGGGCTTAGGGACACTCTCTGAGATAACGAACTCCACCGTTTCCCACTTTATCAACTGATCTCCTCACAGCCTCCTGTTCCTCCTCTGTCTGCAGGCAGCCAGCTGGCGTGGAGCACGGCCATCCGCCTGGTGCTCTTCGTGTGGTTGTCTTCTGCCTTCTGGGCAGCACTGCCCCTCCTGGGCTGGGGCCATTATGACTATGAGCCCCTAGGGACCTGCTGCACCTTGGACTACTCCAAGAGGGACAGGTGAGGCAGAGGGAGCAGTTTTGATGCCCCTTCCAGGTGGATTGTGGCTTTGAGTCCCTGGGACAAGGGTGTCCCAGCAGAAAACCCAAATGGGGAACTGTCGACATCTGCCAGACGATCTCAGTCCCTCAGTCACAATATCCCCTTGCAGGCTGGCAGTGGGTCTGGGGGAAGCCCATTCTGAAGCCTGCCCAAGGGATAGGAATGTTACTCAAAAGAAGGTGGCAAGATGCAGCAAACCGTTGGCTTGGGGAGGTTCTAACAGTCATAGCCGCACCTCCCCTGGGCCATCTCCAGTGCAGTGAGCTGTCCTGCCTCCGACTTCATTGGTTTCTAGAGAGATCCAGTTCATTAGTTCCATGGATTCAAAGAGTGTCAAGTCTTTGGATGGGGGTGGGGGGTACCTTTTCGTCATGGAGATCAGTTCTTGGAATCTCCTCTGCATCTTCTGTGAGCCAATCCCCAAATGCATGGTGGTTTCCACTATCATGGAGGCTGTGTTCTCATATTGCTGCATCCATGTGGCTCTGGGGAGCAGCGGGGCTAGCAAACCCTTTACAGGCTGTGCTGGGGGAGGTCACATGGGCTCCAGTCCCCACTAGTTTCCACCAGAGCCACAGTGCATTCACCTGTTACATGGCATTGACTCATGAAGCATCTACCACCATAACAGGCTTCCCAGGTGAAGCCAACTGGAGAGTCTGTCTCATCCAAGTGTTCCTTCATGGCACACACAGGCTGGGGCCCAGTGCTTCTGGCAGCCCTTCCTTCTACCTTCCTTGGCAGACAGCTCCAAGGTGTCCCCTGGATGGTCTTCCCTTCATGAAATAGGGCTTCCACTGTCCCTGGTCGGCCCTTCCATCCTCAATGACCACTAAGACTCCAGCTCTTCTGTGGTCCCTTCAGTGATGTCCTCAGAGACACAGTGTCCAGTCTATGTCATCCACAGGCTCCTTACAAATCTCTGCGCCTAGAACTCTCCTTGAATGTTCCTTCCTCTTTGGTCCACTGGCGTCTCCACCATTCGATCAACACATTTCCAAAACAAACATGTCCCATTTTCCAGGCTTAGGGAACAAACAGGAGAGCGGGGCTGAGCACTCAAACTTCAGGGAGGCCTGTTGCTCATCTCGGCCCAGGCAAGTTCCAGGAGAGCCCATGCCTCACTGGGTGCTGCGCACAGTTTAGCTGGGACCAGGAATGGCCACATTTGTCTGAGTGTTTGGTGCAGAGGCTGGGAGCCTGGGAGGGCAGCTGGCCATCCCCGAGGACTGACCCCCACTCCCCTATGCCTGCCTATAGGAACTCTACCAGTTTTCTCTTCACCATGGGCTTCTTCAGCTTCCTCATACCCCTCTTCATCACATTCACATCCTACCAGCTCATGGAGCAGAAACTGGCAAGGAGCAGCCGTCTCCAGGTAAGGACTTGGCTCCTGGCTCAGTGTAAGTCCCTCTCAGGGCACCTAGGAACACGCAGACAGTGACAGATGTCTGTCAGGGGTTTCTGGGTCTGCAGTAGTCAGGAGGCAATTCAACCTGTGGGGAGCATGGGCAGTTACAGCTGGGTCACCAAGACCTGGGGGATGAGGACCAGCATGGCCCAGATTCACCCAGTCCTGGGAACCCAGGAGCCAGGGCTCCCTGAGGGGCTCAGTCCTTGCTCTTATACTCAGTTTTTCCCAAGGCTTTGAGGCTTGGAACAAAATAATGAGCCCTTTAAATGTGACTTTTAAACTGCTTGGAGATGTTCAATTTAATCACAGTCACAGACTGTTACCCACAACAGAAAATTGTACCTGTAAGCACATTTGTCCAAGAAAAAAGATGCTTCAGAATAAGCCCTTCTGGCTACTTCCAAATTTCTGCATTAATAAGCCCTTGCTGCAGTTTTCTTTCTTACCTTGACAATTTACCAATGAGTCCTAATGAGCAGCAGAGATTTATTTTTTATTTATTTTTTTGGTATTGGGGATCGAACTCAGGACCTTGGGCTTTCGAGGCAGGCAGTGGAACCACTGAGCTAAATCCCCAGCAAAGATTTATTTTTTAAAAACAGATGCTAATATCACTTTATGTGTGTTGTCATTTCCTCTTTGTGACCTCTCATGGAGGGAGGAAAGCTTTACCATCCCTGTGTCACAGACTGGACTGAGGCACAGGGAGGGGCCAAGAGCCACACATCTAGTAATAGCAGAGATGGGTCCAACCCAAGTGCTTGATTAGGTACAAAAGAGGGACACTCTTTTTATTAAGAGCCTTAACCTGCCACTTCATTATGTGTTTCTTATTAAGCAGAAATCCACTCTGCAAATTTAGGATAGCTGGTGACCCACTTTCCTCTGACATCACAGAGAGAGGATGAGGGTCCCTTCTGCCGGCTCCCAGCTCACTGTTGAGGAAGGCTCATCCTCCCACGCTGTTCATCCCAACCTCTGTCCAGATACGCAAAGTCACCACATTTATTGGAGCTTCAGTCAGCCAGGACACAAGGCTGTGACCACAGTTCCCCATTTTTCCTATTGACTTTCCCACTAGCTCTGGCATTAGCTGACATCACCAAGTATGGCCCTGGGGACCTCAGCTCAAGCTGAATGACCTCAGGAGATGACATGGTCTCCCACTGAGACCCCAGTTTCTCCTCCAGGATCAGTTTCTCCTCAGGGACCTCTCTATCAGTGCAAATCACTTTTTTTTTTAAACCACAATGAGGTTACAACCAAATTGAGAGACAATTCAAGAAAAATATATATTCCAATCAACAAATTTTAAAAATCCAATATTGAAGAGAGAATGCCCTCTTCCAACTTAAATTACCTTCTTTGTTAAAGAGAGACGTGTCAATGGGAAAACAGGCAGTGGTATTACGCGTCAGAATTTTAGTATCCCAGCTATAGCAAGAACATTACTCCATTTCGGAATTGGAGCACTAGTCGCACGCCCCCTAGTGGCAGCAGGTAGTACTTTAGCACATCCACTCCCAGGTGCTTCTCTAGTGTGAAACGGAAGTCCCCACACAGAGGTGGGTCTCGCCTGGTGGCTATAGCCACCAATGGCTCTGGGCCTCAAATCTCAAGGCAGCTTAGCCTGGGACCCTTGTGCACACAGTCACAGAGGCCAAGATTCCTCTTAAAGAACAGAGAGCCCTGAAAGGAAGCTCGTTATCACCTCTCCCCACCCCCATCCCTGTCTCTATGCAACCCAGGTATTGTGAGGCCGTTTTACAAACAAGGCAACTGAGTCTTTGTTTAAATGACAGCCCTGAGTCACGGACCTTAAAGGGCAGAGAAGCTGGTCAGGTCTTGAGGCCCTGGGCAGCTTGGAGGTGCTGAGTACTGGCCTGGCTCCCTGCCTGTGTGGAGCTGCAACATCCAAACTGATGTTGCCTCGGTGCTGTCTCCCCAGGTGAACACCTCTCTGCCAGCCCGGACGCTGATGCTCTGCTGGGGCCCCTATGTGTTCCTGCACCTTTATGCAGTCATCGCCGACGCAAGCTCCCTCTCCCCCAAACTGCAGATGGTACAGCCAAGGCCAGACCCCTGTCCATCTCTGTCTCTCTCAGTCACTTGCTCTCTCCTTCTGGCTCCTGTTTTCTTTCTTCCTTTGAATATTCAAACTGTGAGGGAGTTTGTCTGCCTCCACTCATGTCCTGAGCCATACCAGGTGGAGACGATGGGGAAAGACAGCCAGAGGATGAACACGCACACTCAGGGATGCCTGAGTCTGGGTGGGGCTGTGTTCCCATGGGGCCCAAGTGCCATGCACAGCCACCAGGCATCCAGGGACAGCCCAGGAGCTGCAGAATGGAGCCCATGACAAATGATTGATGGCTGCAGGGAAAGAGGGACTGGAGTCATTAGGTGGGAGCAGGGAGAAGAGCGGAAGTTTCAAAAAGTCACTGCTGGACTTTTCTGCCCCAACAGGTGCCTGCCCTCATTGCCAAAACAGTGCCCACAATCAATGCCATCAACTACGCCCTGGGGAGCAAGATGGGCAGCAGGAGACCCTGGCAGTGCCTCTCACTGCAGAGGAGCAAGAGGGATTGAGCCCAGTGAGCTGCTCCAAGATGTTGCTCACACCCAGACCCCCAGCAGGAGGCTGCTGGATAGCCTGGAAGCCATACCCCAGATGCTTGTCCACCAGCCCCAGTGCCCCTGTTGAGCCTGGCCCAGGGCTGGGCACAGGGTTTCAGACACCCAGCTGTGTGGAAGAAAGCTGGAAACCATGGGAAAGCCACTCTCCAACCCAAGCTACCTGAATCCTTAAGATATGGACATGGACTTGTAGACTTGAACAAGAGAACATGTTCACACCAAGCACATAGAAAATGCTCCTTAAATCCGAGCTATTGGTGTAAAACCTGGGCCATGCTCTCCAGGGTCTTACACAGAAAGGAGAAAATGCCCTAGAATTCCCTTGTGGGGACTCGACCCCAGCTGCCAGCACTCCAAACACTGCTTATTAAATCAAGATCTGGCACCAGGGACTTAACTCTCTGCCCTGCACTTGTGCCCTGGCCTGTGGAACGAGGTGACAGAAATGTGACTTGAAAGGCCCGGAGCATGACCTGCATGTTATATGCTCCCTGAGAGGCAGGTACCCTCTGTTTGAGTGGGCTTGACCTGAGCATTGCTTAGAAATGTTTCAGGATCAGTTGCCAAGATTTAAAACTCACGACAATTCATTTAAAACTCCAGATGCCAGAAGATGAGGCCCTGCCGAGCTGTCTTCCTCCATAGTGACTGTGCACAGAGCTCACGGTGGCGCTGTCCTCCTGTGTCCTCTGCAGACTGTGACGCTGTGACACTAACTCGGGAGCGGTCACCTCTGGACCCACTCAGGCATCATCAGGGATGACATGTGGCAGGTGCAGAGTCCTGGCAGGACCCACCGCCAGGAGGGAAATGGGGATGACGGCCAGGGTGATGGAAGCCCAGAAAGCCAGTGGTGTGGGCCAGCTGGCCCAGGCCTGGTGGAGGTGTGAAGGAAGAAAGTCCCAAGCCAGGGAGCTGAGAGCAAGGACAGGAATTTCTGGGGCTGGGTGGGCATCGGGGGTGGTCAGACAGGGAGGCTGAGCCAACAGCACTGGGACCCTGAGGACCGGGACCTGTCTGCTGGAAAATCAGGGCACATATGCATAACTCACAAGAGGCCACTTGGCCATGCTCCAGGGCCCGCACAGCCTCACTGACTCAGCCCTGGAGTTCAGGCAGGGTAGGAAAATCCCAGTGCCTGGGCCAGAGCGGGGCTCACACATGGGCTGAGCAGTGGCCAGGAAAGGGACTTGAACTGCACACACCAACAAACTAGCAAGCTGTCTCCAAAGGAAAGGACACCCCCGCCCCAGGCCTTTCACGGGACAATTTCCTGGGGAGGGAACAGGACTGGCATTCAATTGACTATAAAGAAATATCAATTAGATAGTGCCTAAATTATATACACATCTTCTCTTAAAGGCAAAGAGAATTCTAAACTTTTTCTACATATATAAATAAATACATTCAGCAGCAAGGAAGTTGGCCTAGTTTATTTTTATTTATTTTATTTTTGTTGCCATGAAATTGATAGGATTTCTGCTCTCCTTGCTGTGGAGACACTGCGGGTTCATTTTGCTCAGACACAAGCTCACTGTCCTTCCCACCACAAGGACATCACTTCTTATATGCCCTATCTAAGTAAGGATCATTAGGATCCACCCTGTCATATTAGCTAAATTAAGAGAAAAGGAGAGGGGTAGAAAAGCAAAGATTTGGCCTGCATTTGCTCAGCTGGGAGGTGCAGGCGGCGCAATGCTTAAGTGGCACCACCAGGTGGCAGTGCCCTCTCAGCGATAAATTCCTCCTGGGCCGCAAGCCGAGGAGGTGCCCTTCTCGAGAAGCCAGTGCGCCCCCTGGCCAGGGGGCTGGGTGCGTTTATTAATTTCTACAGGACATTCCACGCGCTTTCCTCTGCCTGCTCTTGGGACCGAAGCCTGAAGTTTCGATGTCTCTAACAGGAGGGATGGTGTGATTCCATGTCTCTCTTTGAAAGAAACAGAATTGCAGGTTCACTGGCCCCAGTGCTTCCAGAGGGCAGTGGAGCACCCTTTTCTGATTGCTTAGCCAGGCGGAAAGGTCCGGCGTCTTCCCACACCCACGGGCTTGGGTTAGGAGGTCTGGGTCTGCAGTGTGAGAAGCGAGGCGGCCCCTGGATTTCCCTGGCCTTGGATCATTCATCTATGATGCATGCTGTGGACCATGGTGTGGGGCTGGAGGGCTTCCAGGTATTGGACCTGGAGCACCAGCCGGTGCCGGGCAGTGATGGGGCCACGTTTCCAAGGTGGTGAGAGCTGGGAGGGCCCTATGTGAAGGTCAAAGACCTAAGCTCCGAATCCTCCGTGGTGACAACTCCCTGCTCAAGCTCCTCCCTGGCCCCAGGGCCTCCCACCTGTTCTCCGTCCACCCACCTGGTTCCCTTACAAAGACTTCCCTGTCGCGCTTCAGCGCCGCTCATGTGTTCCCTCTGCAGCTGCTGCACCCTTCTACGTAAGAGGCAAGAAACAGCTCGCAGAGCAGAGCATTTAGGTTCTGCTGCCAGGAAGACCAGGACATGCATCCAGCATTTGCCACTGACTCAATATAACAAAGAGTCTGGGTGACTAAACTTCATCAAGCTCCTGAACCTTCTCCCAGGCCCATCTGTGCACTTCCTTGTAAAACTCAGTTTTAACAACAATAAAAAAAACCCCTGCTAAATCAGGTTTTAATAAAACTGCCTCACACTCTCAAGCTCTAATTGGGCTCCTCATCCTCCAGCCTGTCTTCAACAGGTCTTGTAAAGGAGAGAAAAGCCATGAAGAGGACAAACCACTGCTGAAGGTCAGGCAGTAAAGGGAAAGGAACAGGGATCAGAGCAGGCCCTCCAGGCCCAGGGGACAAAAGCAATGCTCACAAACAGAAAGGTGCAGTGAGTCACCTGCATTCTCCTTAAGGCAGACCCAGGCTCAGCAGATCCACCTGGCTCCTCCAGGAGCACCAAGAGGCCCAGGGTGGGGCAGAGTTGGCCAAGCAGCAGGCAAGGTGAGGGCAGCTCTGCCCGCCAGGACTGGAGGGCACAGGGAGAGTGAGGAAGGGCAGCTGGGTTTAGGAGCAAATGAAAGAGTTAGGAAGGCTTTTACTTGGGAAAGTAAGCAGAGCTGGTTTCCAATTTTAACTGATCGCTGGGCTGCTGTATAGAGGCCACCCCGAAGGGCCAGAAGTGAGGCAGGAAGGGGCTGCTAGCATCGGTCCAGTGCAGACCTATGTACTATCTATCACCTTGAACCAGGTGATGGTAATAGTAATGGTGAAAGGTGAACAGGCTTATGATATGGTTTTAGAAACAGATACTGCATGACCAGCCAGTGGTTTGAATAATTTTATTAGTTTGGATGCTTTTGATTTTAGATAACAGAAAACCCAATATTGACTGTCTTTAAAACATAAGGACAATTTCTAGACTCACCCAAATGAAGAGTGTGGTAGAGTAGGCTTCAGGCAAGGTTTTATCAGCACTCAAACATTATATTTCAGGATTCTCAGTCCTACTCATTCTCTCTCCCACCCTTTATATGTCATTTATCCTCAGTGCTGACTTTGTTAATGAATGCAAGATGACTTCAGGAGCAGTGAAGTCAATAGACTCTCAACATGGGTGAGAATTGGCTCTGCTTACATGAAGGAGAAACAAGCATTATTCCCAACAACCATAAAACAAAAACCTTAAGCTAGGACCTGATTGGATGAGCTCTGGACAAACCTCTGTTGGCAGAAAAAAATGGATCTGATAGATGGTTTAATACTCCACCAAGCCCCGGTTACCAGTAGATTGGCTAAGATGAGAATTACTGGAAATGACTGAGTGCAGAAGAGAGTACTAATCTCATCAATTTCAGTGAATTACACTCACTGAAAGAATGCTGTGATTGAGAAGGTTTTTAAAAATTTTTATCATATCAGTTAATTAGTACATGTTTATGTTCCTTGAGGGAATTTGGTACCTGTACATAACACATCTTAATTCCTTTTTCATCCCCCTCATCTGTCTCCTGATCCCCTTCCCTTTTTTTTTTTTTTTGCACATTTGCAGTACACAGTGTTCACATTCCTTGTGTAGAGTTGGTGCGTGTGCATAACACATCCTAGTTCATTTTTTCATCCCTTATCCCTTTTCCTCCCTTCTCCCTCCAATCTCTTAATCCCCTTCCCCACCCAGAATGATCTATCTCCTGATTTCCTATTATCTATCTTTTATTTTGCTCATTTTTATTGTGAGTTGCTCATATAAGAGAAACAGACAATGAAGTTTTTAAGAAGAATCATGTTCAGATTCTTGTTTTCCCCTGTGCATGGTCCTAGAAGTGCCTACAACTGTACAAAAGCTTTCAGGAGCAGTTGGAAACCAAGGTGCCTGGAAGACTTTCTTAATTTCCTTGGACCAATGAAGACAGGAGTGTGGCCAGCCATGCCCAGGAGGCACAGGTGCTATGCAGTGGGAGGAGGCAATATGGATGTTAAGAAGAAAAGTGCAATTCCCACAAAGAAATTGCATGAGGTTTGGGGCCTGGGAGCACATCAGAATGGCAGGCACCTGGATTTTGGAGGTGCTATGTACTACAGTGAGAAAGACAAACCAGACTTGGAGGGGAGTAAATCAGGATGACTCTCAGACATCCAGGTCTTGCTGGCACTTGGAAATATATGCAGGAAATGTAGGACATTGTCCTGGCTGAGTCACCTATAATATACACAGGAGATGTAGGACATTGTCCTGGCTGAGTCACCCATATCACATGGTGTCCCCTAGGTGCGGAACAAAGTGACAAGCTTCCAGCCACTTTGCCACAGTTTGTCTCTGACAGCTAAGGAGCCAGGATAACCCTCTGATAAGAGGCCCGGGACTGTAGTTATCTAAACCAAATAAGACCATAAACACCATCATGCTGCCACTAGAGCCTTCAAGGAAGATCTTCATGAATGCGAGATCTGAAGAAATTGGCAGTGAGAATTCTTCTCCATACCTTTTAGTTTAGTGATCTTCAGAACAACCGAAAGGGGAAAACAGGAAGGGAGTCCTGAGTCCCCATTTCCAGGTAGAAAATCTGAGGCCCGCAGTTGAGTTGTACTCAGTTCATACCAGAGCCTGAGCTTGAAATCCACCCTCTTAGTTAGGACTGGTCCCCAAACCCTGCAAACCCAAACATCTGTGGTCTGAGAGATCTCTCCTTGGATACAAGATAGCTGCAAACAAGGATGTCCCATGACTTGGGTCAGTACATGCTCAGATGTCACTTCAGGTGCTGTGTGGGAGGCGACCTAACAGGGAGGTAGTAAGTGAGGTGGAAAAAATCCTGGACTCCAGTCACACCTGCTGTGCAGTCCTGGCATGGCCATTCCCTTCCTGTGAGACTCTGCAAGAGTGAGCCACTTGTGGAAGGCTGCATTTCTTTTTCTTCAATAGTTGTTTGGATCGGATCAGTTGTTTGCAAACTTTTTTTTCCCCCATTAAGTTTATTGGTACATTTTAGGTATAAAA